TGAAATGTAGTACATTAGGTATCGTGCGCAAACACGTAATCTTTAGACTACTGAGCCAAAATACAACAGTGTTAATGTCTAACTTCAGCTAATCTATGATATCGTGTGTCTATCTCCCATTGTCCACGGTGAGTAATTGCCCCACTCCCGACACGGTTGAACTCCACTGGTCATGGCGTTTCACTATAAATCTGAGAATAACTTCTCAAAGCTAGTCACTTGTAAGCAGATGATATGTCTGTGATGCGCGTTTACGCTACATATGAAGCACTAGTTCTTTCGAAATTTCAGACAAATTTTATGAACCTAGTTTAACAGTTTTATTATAGTAGCGACCATTAAAACAACTTCTATCTTTATATTAAGTAAATCAGACTACTCATTACAACTTGGTCGATAGAATTTGATTAACACTCAAAACTAGATAAACCACCGATGTATCCAGATAGATGACTCACAACCATGCTGAATGGTATCTATTAATAACTGTCTAGTTTAGTAGATCAATGAAATGTCATAAACCCATATATGTATACATACTACAGAAATCAGAGTAATAATAAAAATACCCACACGTTTACGCCGTATCGATCTGTGTAAGAAAAATCATGTGCTTTCTCGCTTAAGTAATCAGGGGGTTTATAAACCTTCAATATTTGAGTTTTTAATTAAATTAATATAATCATCCAGATTTGTTCATTATTATTTTGAGTCCGTGGTTGATAGGAATATACAGATGTTTTAATGGAGGGTCATCATCATCTAGTCATTGAGCCGGGAACAAAACATGTCTTGACTGTGATTTAGCCAACCTATTTGGGGGCTAAATTCGCTTGATACAATGACGTCTGGGAATATAATGTTTAGGTCAGAGAGATACTCGTAAAACCTATTTCCTACTTCTTCTGTGTTCCAAGTCGGTAAAACAATAAGTAGAGAAAACGATGTGATTACAAAAGATTAAGCAGTCAATATATCAAATACACGAAGAGATATGCCAGTCCTTCAAACTAACTAGGTAAGGTGAAATGAATAACCAAATATGAGTCCTGTATGAATCTCAGAGTCAGAATACAATGAAAGCACAACAATCTACAGCCTTGGCTAAAATCTATGTTGGTCGATTTGACATAGGGTTTGAGCATTGAGAGTGCTAAAACGTAGTTAGGAATGAAAATTTACAAGGCTCGGGATAACAGTGTCGATTAAAAAAATGCGTATTCTTAATTATTATTTCCAATTTTGTAATACAACTACAAACACAAAAACCGGCGTAATTTTTGATTAGACTTAAAAAACTACTATTAATACATAGAAATTTACATTTTGTCAGACGTGTCGTACGATATTTATTTATGAATATACTATCTCACATTACCTATGCTCTTAAGAATTATATATAACTAAAAAAAACACGTCTTGTAGTTCAAATGTTTAGATTTCATAAATTAAAATAAATGTGAAATGGCTGTGCCGGGGTGAATGATAGAGATTGTAACCTATGAAACAATTTTAGAAACTTCAATAATTGAGATCATGAATCAATTGAGAGTTAGACAACCATGGAAAACCTGGAAGCACTGGACGGCTGTTTCGGCCTATTATAGGACTCCTCAACAGTGCACATCCACGATCCCGCCTCGTGGGGTTCAAACCCAGGACCCACTGGTCTATTATCACTTACAAAGTGATGCCCATTGATATCTCACAAGTGTAACAAATATACGAATAATCTTAATCTTGACAATGTTTACTGGCTAATTGTGTTGAAATTCATTTAGTCAAGATATTTTGAAATGATTTCTATATAGTTGCACAGTATCACTTCTCCGAAGAACATGTTCTCTTACATGTAACATTTCACTTCTTTAAATTATAACTTGTTTACAATAATTAGTGACTAACATAATTTCTATGAATTGAAGTAAATGAATTTCCATTTCTCATTTCGATTTCAAGCCGTTATATACTGTGAACAGCTGATGAGAATCTACTGGGACGAAATCAGTTCGTTTTAATTCCATAACTTCCAATATATAATTAAACATGCCTATAACCTTCTAAATACTCTCATTGTGTACATATAATTTAATCCTTGAATAAGAAATAGCTTCTTTTAAATTTCCCACCTGTTTAAAAGGCTGTAGAATATAGTAGTTAAAATGTTCAGATTACAAGCCATCAAAATTACAAACTAATTCTTTTCAATATTGCTAGTAGTGTAATGTGGGTTACTTATATCCACATAAGTAGTATATAACGATAGTTAGGAATAGAATTATTTCAGTAGAAGATCTATAAGGAAAAAGTGGGAACAGAACGCAAGTGGTATGAAAATGCATGAACAATGAAATCTGAGACAATGGACTGATATTTGCAAAAGGAAATGTCAAGTTTGAGACGATGGATTCATATTTCTCAAATGAAATATTTACAGTATGGTTCTCAGATTTTAGTGAGATATTCTGTAATTTCATGTCAAATACATTCGATTGTTTTTACTCGTGTTCTTGTTCACTACAGTAGTATTGAAACATGTTTAAGATTTCAAGCTATAGGGATAATTTATTTATTTATTTTTCTTTTCTTCTAATATTTACTTGTTTATTTGAATGGAGAATAACGACAAGAATAAAGATTATCGTCATCATGAACACTGAGCTATCCGGGCCGCGACCGAGCTCCTGTAGGACTGAGATGTAACCACAATTGATTGATCACTGGGTGGTGATCAATGTCATATATGTCAAGTCCTTATTAATGCAGATCGAATGCTATCGACCATGTTGCACCAGTTCCCTCAAAGATTACAGGTACATCTTGCTGACGAGTGCCAAGTAGCACGAAACCCGGATCCAAGATTTCGTGTCGACTACCTCCAACCACTAACTAATTATCGTCATCATTATCAACTTACAAAAGAAAAACCAAAGAATGAAATATACAATAACAAAAATACAAGAACAATTACTTCATAAAATATGTATATAATCCATTTTTTTCTGTTGGATTTTACTACAGATTTATCATGGGACTGAATAATGGATACACATATACACAATCTGGAAATTGTTTCAAGTACAGGAAAACAAAGAGATATGTATATTCTCATAAAGATTTTATTAATATATACAATGATTTGCTTGTGTTGATTAAACGTTTACATCATTTATCGTTGATCTGAATGAAGAAATTTTAAAAGCAATATCAATACGAGTAACACGTTAGAAGATAGAGTTGTATATATGTAACCAAAGTATATATAAATTTCAAGTATTTAATCATACTTTAGCAAGACTATAATTGATCGACGAACCAATAAGATATAAGATAACGAGTCTTGGATTTCGGCATGAAATGTATCTATACATTTGACAAAATATCATTTTGACATTATAGCTGATGTCAGCTAATGATGAAAATCATTCCTAACCATCAATAGTAAATCCTAATTCTAGTTCCTCACCATGGTTTATAACTTTCATTCGGTCTTAGTACGTAGGCGAGCATTCTCAAGGTTACATTAGTGTCGCTCAAGGTCACCCATAAATAATAGTCTCACCATGTGGGTGACCGGGATATGTTACATGTCTAAACGTAGCTTACTTTATGTATGGTGATGGGTTGCACAGAATTGGGCTGGGAAAAGTTAAGGATGATCAAACAAGACAAATTTAGCTTATGATTATTTTAAATGAGCTGAGTTGGTACATGTAGACTACTTTATTAATATCAATCAGATAGTAGTCATCCAAAGTAACAAAGTAGGTATAGAACAGATGGATAGATGAAAGTCAAGTATATAATTATATTTCTATTATACCTTTGACAGTTAAGTATTTGTTTTATAATTTTCTTAATACTCTTTAAGAGAATAGGTGTACAACACAACCCAAAACAGTGAAATGGTCACTACAATGTGTCATGAAATCGGTCTCAGAGGAGAAGTTTTAATTACATTTTGGTTTTCTTCTAAGACATACGCTTAATTTTACTGCATACTTTTCATTCTTTAACTATTTTTTCCTTATATGCTAATATTTCCAATGTTTAGTTTCTTATTATATGTGAGATTACTAATTATTGAGACGATCTGTTAGAGTAAAATGAAGAAAATGGGACCAATGTATATTTGTATCAGATCCTACGTTGTATTTGATTGACAAGTTGAATAGATTTATAATCTGATACTGTCACTAAGTGCCTTCAATCATGAAATACACGCAATAAACTCTTTGACCGATAGATTCATACAAATGACTAGGAGTTGTCATTCAGTAATCAATTCATGAATAATAATAATAATTTTTGAACTAAACGAATTACTACAGAAGGAAATATCCAATGGCACAACAGTTATCATTAGGTTATACCCACTGTTACTATAATTCGAAATCAGAATACTCACACCGATTAAAAAATTGATTAAGTTTCTCAACTTGCTCCCTTTTACGATATACAACCTACCTGAATCACTAATCCACGATCCTAATCGTTGACCAACACAGTTGTGCACAGATGAGAGTAGATATATTCGAACGTTTCATTCGCTGACTACTTGTGCTTACAAAAAGTCCTTAAAATTTACAGACTTACTAGTTGGTACATTACTTGTTTACAAACTAGTGACACTAACATGAACCTTAAATTATATTGAGTGTAATAGGATTTCAATAATCAATATATATATATATATATATATATATATATATATATATATATATATATATATATATATAAAGTAAGGTAACACTACGATAGTATGTCTTATAGTTCATGTCAACGAACGATCTTAATAAGCCTGCTTCGGTTTGGGCACCCGGGCAGTATCACAGCCCTCACACATATCAAATGAGATCTGTGTGGCGCATATTTATTTGGTGCCTCCTTGTCCCAATACCTATGTGTTAAAATAAATAAATAAATAAATATGATCTTAATAAGACAATCGCTGAAAACCAGAAAGACCTGGCCATGTGTTTTGTGCTTGTATGTAGTTTCTCAACAATATGCATCCACAATCTCTCTGGGAAAATATAAGTGATTTCATTAATTTAACATTCAATGAAGAACAGACATGTGGTCAATAAATCTGCAACTTGATAGAAAACCTGTCTGGTATTTGCGAACCAATCCATCACAAATACAAAACAACTGTACATTGTATATATAGTATGATACTACTAGTAAACTGAAAACAACCATATCAAGAGGTCAGTAGGTGAAGTTGTATCATGTCATAGTATACACATTGAATTAAAAGAGAATTTAATTACCTTGTTTAAGGAAGTGAAGTATTGACATTTTGAGTTGAATTAAATGATAAATTATTTTGATCATTGTCTAACTCCATTGGTTCATCAAAAGTATTAGTAGAAATTAAATGTTCATCAGTCACTTCAGAAATATAGTTTAAAATTGCCAGTTGTTCTTCTAATCTACATATACGTTGATAATGACGAGCTATGGTATAACAAAATAAAAACACAGAAAGTTACAGCTCTAAATGTTTGATTAAATTTATTACGTTACTGAAGAACAATAAAGTAGTATATAAGTATATATACAAGGATAATGTTGAATATTATGTGGGTTAAACGGAATTAATAACAAGAATGAATAAGGATCATAGTGTACGGCTATCGTATTCTTTACAAAACTTCATAATTTGTACAGTTTATATATATATATATATATATATATATATATATATATATATATATATATATATATATATATATATATATATATATATATATAGTCTCTATATTTCCAAATTGAAACTTAATCAGACATTCAGTAACAATGTAGAACTTCGTTCGTATGTACATCACATCGAGTTGCCATACCACATTAGCACAGAAATGTAATTTTCGATTCAAATCCCATAGTGGTAGAGGTAATAAAAGTATATTTTATTATTATTTTTAACACATATCGGTACAAGAAGGCACCAAATACATATGCGCCACACAGATCTCATTGGATATGTGTGAGGGCTGTGATACTGCCCGGGTGCCCAAACCGAAGCAGGAAGTATAAACAGTAATCGGAGGGATTTGGGTTCGAAGATGTTATTGAAGGAGTATAATCTACTGAAATAAATTTGGAAAGAGAAAAGATAAGGGACATGAAGTATTCAGAAGATTAAAATTTGGGAGAACACAAAGAGTGGATGCACCTGCGCACACCATTGCAAACGATTTTGAGCCATGTGATTCAGGGTCTCTAACCGTCGGTTGCTATCATCTCGCGGTCCCCAACCAGGTAGTCTACACCTACCAACATGGCTCAGTCCACTTGTCAGTGACTTCATGGATTTGTGCCATGTTTTGGTCTGGCCGCCCCTACCTTTCTTCCAACCTACTCCTACACCACAAAACAACGCACGTCGTGGCAGTCGGTGGCCTGGCATGCGCAACACATGTCCTAGCCATCTCAACTGATTAAGTTTCACTACTTCGTCAATTGATTTGCCATCCTTACCTAGTACCCGTTTCCTAACAACTGTATTACTTACTCGGTGGTACCAGGATATACGAGCAATGTTTCGAAGACATCTATGGTCGAATACTAATAACCTACAAATATCCTCTACACTTACCGGCCATGTTTCACTGCCATAAAGTAGGACGGAACGAACTGCTTCGAAGTAAACACGTTCTTTGATTGATAGACGGATATCTCATCTACGCCACAAATGACGCAAGTAGGCAAAAGCTAGTCGAGCCTTCTGTATCGTCACACACCAGACCACAAGGGCTGATGAGACTTCCAAGATAAGTGAGGCGGTCGACACGCTCAACTACTTCACTCCCTATCACTCGTTCGGGTGTCGATGCAACCCAAATTGAAACTTAACTATCTTACAATTTATACGCTGCCCCCTAAGAAAACCACCTGCTTCGGTTTGGGCACCCGGGCAGTATCACAGCCCTCACACAAATCAATTGAGATTTGTGTGGCGCATATGTATTTGGTGCCTCCCTGTACCTATACTTATGTGTTAAAATAAATAAATAAATAAATAATATACGCTGTCACTATGATAGCATGAGAGAATATCGTGTACAAATCATCTCTTTAATGATGTATTACATAGTTATTTCAAAAAGAATATGGACTTTAGGTGCCTGAACTAAACATACACTCATTACAAAATATCTTTAATAAAGATTATGATCCGCATTCGAAGACAGGAAATTATTAGGCAAGGGTTAATATGGGATTATGTTAATAATCCATTGTATCTTTTTTTCGTCAGTATACCAAACACCTTTGATATGAAATTGTATTGTGTCACATATTATTTAACGAAATTCAGTGTGACCTTTTTAGAGTGTGAACTCTGTTAATCAATTATGATGAGTGTAAAATTGTTTATAAGCGAGTTCATTCTTTAGTATTTGGGTATCTATGCAATAAATCTTTTTTTGTTCCTGTTGCAGTGTTTACCTTCTTCATAGAGTCGAAAAACAGAAATTTAAATTCCAGTTTCATCATAGTTCTAGTGCCAATTTGTAGTTTAGTCATATTCTAGTTTTATTTGCAGTTATATTAAGTTCTATTTTCAAGTTGCTAGTTTAATCAAAATAACCCATTGTGTCTGATGTGTGGGAGAGAATGGTAACGATTGGTTGTCTGCTTAGTCAAACATGTAGATAGTCTGATAGGAGTCAGATGAGTTATATATTCCCTTATCCTTATTATTATTACTCACTTATTATTGATTGTTCATTGTTGTTGAATTGTGTCGGGTGGTGGTGTGGAAATACATTTTCGTTCTAGTTAGGCTAATCACGTGTTCTTGATCTGAGTTGTGTTGAAGTCCTGTAGAATAGACACTGTGAGGGAACCTAGTGTAGATTTTGGTCTAACGTAAATTAACGTCCCATATGTGTCAACGTGGAAAATTAACCGTTATAAAAATGTCATTAAATCGAAATAACGAGAATTCAGCAAAGAAAAGTTCCTTTTCGACAAAATCATTTACTTAAGCTGTACATTTGTATTTATAGTTGTATGTCAAATATATGCCCATTTATTATTTTATTTCTTTTTGTTTGAACATATAAATATTGGTACAAAGGGGCACAGAATACATATGCGTGATACAAGTCACTTGATTTGTGTATGGGCTGTGAGATTGTTCGGGTAACCAAACCGAAGCAGGTGGTTTTCTTAGACGGTCTGGCTTCGATCAGATCATGAATTCAAATGTTAAAATTACTACAATCTCAACAAATTCCCAATACTGAATAATAATCATAATCAAAAGATAATAATAGCCAATTATACTTTCGAATTACAAAACAATAATTTAAAAAAGAGACTAAAACATACTAAAAAAGGGAATTAGGGTCAAGGATGGATGAGAGATTGGACGTATAGTTTTCGCGCGTAGAGTTCACTTTATGATTAAATTTTCTCTACTCCTCTATAGACATATATTTAGCATACAACAATAAATAAGAATGAACAGCCTAAATAAATGATTTTGTCGAACAGAAAATTTTCTTCGCCGAATTACATCTAGTTTAAGTAAGAATAAATTCAGAAGGGGTTTTGTGAAGATTATAGTAATTTCAATGGTTGAGATCGTGAATCAATTGAAGCTAGACCACCATGGAAAACCTGGAAGCACTAAACGACCGTTTCGTCCGATTGTGGGACTCCTCAACAGTGCGCATCCACGGCACCGCCTCGAACCCAGGACGCGAACGCTTAACATTTACACCACTGGGTCGGCTGGCATCCAGCGGTGTTAATGTCTAACTTCAACTAATCCACGAAATTGAACGACACACCCACTATTGTCTTCAGTGAGTTACTATTTCACAAGACCCGGATCATTGGTCTGGTGGTTAAGCGCTAGCGCGCGAAACTGCTAGGTCCTGAGTTCGATTCTCGAGAGGCAGGATCGTGGATGTGCGCTGCTGAGGAGTCCCATAATAAGACGAACCGATCGTCTAGTGCTTCTAGGTTTTTCATGGTAGTCTAGCTTCAATTGACTCATGATCTTAACTAAGAATAAAATTCCAATTTTCTCAAAAAAGGTCTAACCGTGGTGTGATTAATGAATTATGAACTTGTATTATGACTGATATATTTTCCATAGGAGAAAACTGACAAAAATATGAATCCGTAAAAACTGCGTAGAAAAGGATAAAATCATCATTACTCATTCTGCAAAGAACTGTTCAAGACTCTATATACAATTAACATCAGGAATACGTTTATTCTCCTCTTGATATTACAATCAAAAGACACTACAATCAATCACATAACATAACCTTACACAGTTAACAATCAATATCTCAGGAATTATATGTATATGCTATCGAAACAAACAATAAATGAAACATCGTTTATGATGTACAACCAATCTACAATAGGTATAAAACAGAACTTACTTGTATACGGAAGGAGATATTGTATCGCTTGACTAAAATTTGGCCATTCAAGTAATTCTTCAGGTTTCCATCGTGTTAGAATCCAATTTAATATAAACTGACTTATCATTGATGTTCTAGTTCTTGTATTCCAGTTGATAGCATAAGATAAAAGTCGTTGAATTAAACTAAGTGAATCATTAATATTTTCACTGTGACTTTTATTTACAAAATCATCAAGTACTGACAATAAGTTCGCAGCTTGTGTTGGATATTTGATACTTTGATTATCTTTGCAAGTCTGTTTGACATGATCTTGAGTCAAAAGTTCTACAAACATATAGTAATAGAAACAGTTATCATATATCTCTTATATAAATGAAATCTCTCAATTATTGGTCGAAGTATCGGATTTTCTAGATTAGCCATGAAACAATCAGCCAAGAGAGGACCCAATGGAGAGCTTATTGCAACTCCATCTACTTGTCTATAGAAAACATCATTAAATCTAAATTTCACGTTGAGCGTACATCGTAGAAGTAGTTCTTTAAGATAATGTTTTGGGATACACATATCAAGATTATAGTTTTTAATGATGATACTTGCATTATTTGTGAAGAAGACATGGACCTTAATAAAATCTTGAATATTTTCAAGAATTGTTACCCATCAATTCAATTTACCTTAGAAGCAGAAGCAAACCATTAATTTCATTTTCTTGATGTCCGTTTAAAAAGAATGCCGATGGTTTTTTACAGAGATCTATATATAGAAAACCTACTTGGGATGGACAATACACGAACTTCCATAGTTGGGTTCCACTAAGTAGAAAGATGAACTTAATTCAATCTTTATCCTCGAGGATCAAGCGAATCTGTTCCAATGACACAACAGATGGGGAACTGTTTCATCTTCGACAGACCCTCATCACAAATGGTTATCCACCGAGATTCGTTGATAGTAACCTGACACCCAGACTTTATGACAAAGCATCGACAGTAGAAAAGAAAACTCTATTCATGAATATGGAATTTAAAGGAGACACAGCTGCTGAAATCCTAAATAAACGGATTTCGAAATCGTTGAATAAAACATTCTACTCAGCTAAGCTCCGAATCGTTTTCTCTAGCCAACCTACCATTTTGGGATGTGTTAAAGACAAACTTCCGTTTTGGGCCACATCAATGTGTATATATAGATTTACTTACTCATGTGGGGCACGTTACATAGGCCGCACAAAGCGATCATTGTCTAAACGCATCTTGGAACATTATCCGGCCTGGCTCTTAAAAGGAGAACGTAAAACAATTACTAGTTCGATACAGGAGCACTTAATTAACTGTGGACACGTCGCTCCAAAGGACTCTTCATTTAAAGTAGTCCACAGAGTCAAAGGAACTGGATCGAAGGGGGGTTCGAATCAATATTTTGTGCACTGCTGAGGCATTGGCAATCCACAAACTCAAGTCTGAACTCTGCGTGCAGAGACGATTTGTCCAACCTCTCATTCTTCCTTGGCCCTAATTCCCTTAACGGGTATGTTCCTGTGTTTGTGTGCCTTTTTTGTTATTTTTCTGCATTTTTATTTAATTATTATCGATATTTTTTAAATTACTGTTATTTAGTATGTAGCGAAATGTGGGGTCAAAGTTGTAACAGTCGTCAGACGGAGAGAAGAGTTTCAGTAAAGAGAAATTATGGCGTAGGCAGAACACTTGGAGACGATTCATATTGCAGAACGCACAGGAGATGCAAATGGATGATTGGTTATGTATATGTATTATGTAAACTTTTTGTAAATTCCCAAAATAAATATAGATTCAGTCTGCTTATTGTCTTCTTTTAAAGTACGACTGTGCGTTAACACAAGGTTGTTATATTAAACCAGTAAACGAAAATTATATTCACAAGAGAATCTATTGCGGATTGATCTATGAATAATTAGATGGAAAATAAACAGAAATCGCATATCAAGTGATGCAAGAAAAAATGTTCACAAGGAAACTGTTTAATTAAAACTGTTTTCTATAAATATTCAAAAAAACGTTAACTTACCCTGTAGTATGTCTAATGTTCGCTTGGGTTGGTCTAATTTGACAGCCAAATGAACAGCATCGGCATACATTTGTTTATGTACAAGATTATCCAATTCTTGTTGTCTATAAAATCAATATCAAGTATCAATAAAATAAAATAAATTGTAATAACTCAGTAGTTCAGTGGATAACCCGTCAGTGTTTAAAGCAATAGGTACTAATTTCGAATCCCAGCGTGAAAATACACGCTATCATGCAGATACACTTAGCTCAGATTGAGGTATTATCAATGAGATTTATTTTCTTAGACAAAAAGTGTGTACAGTAATATCTGGAAATAATTCTCAGATCCTGAGACAGAACACAAAACTATACTTTGGGCATTTCCAAAGCCCACATTTTCTCATATGAAAGAAACTATTACAGAAATATGCTACATAAAACGAGCATATCAGTCTTTGGGAAAATATTCTAAAACTCAGCATTCACTAAACTTTACCCTACAAATTAATAAATGTAATGAAAGCGTCGGGTAGATACTGGGAAAATAAGTAAATTATTTACTTGGTTAACGTTACCATATACATTCAACACGTTCACCTATAAACATGCATGAATTTATTCGGCTTTTGGTGATAAAGTCTCCGGCACTTGTCTTTGCCTTCATTCTCTGAATACTCGAATCGATCAAGCGCTACCAGCAAACATGGGAACTAAATAAGACTGAAAACCACACAATAAGAGTTGATAAGTCGAACTCATAGCAGATTTCGAGCCCATACTGAGAACCATAGTTTGTGTTTTAGACGAATAATTCAGTGATCCAAAAATGTTTGCCTTGGATAACGCGTGGTTTTACAACAGTTGTTTATTATGCCTTCATTAACTGTCCAGAATGAACCTTTTAAAATGAGTCAAGAAATCATACAGCCAGATAGTCATAACCCTGCTACAAGAAACTGTGAAAACAAGGTCGCTCTTCGTATAGTAACACCTGGTGATATAACTCATTTGTAAAGTAAGGATCTGTGTACTCAGCTTTGAGCCATACTTTATGGGTGAATGCTGATTTTACTACCCCCGACTGCCCGAAACAAAGTAGTTGAGGAGGATCTGAAACTCACAAACTGGTAGTTGAAAATCGAACAACTTTGCCACTAAAACCACGAATTCTTAAATAACAAAATTATCTGAACATTCAATAAAAAATCGAGTAATGTATGTGGTAGTCAATATCCCCACTGATACCACGAATGCATTAGTATACTTTCAAAAATGTTGAATGTGTAACAAATAATAATGATCAGCCCCTCTTTACATTTGTGAAATGTAATTTATTTTAATCTAGGATATCCTATAACTATCTTCCTTTTTATTAAACTAGAGCGACCAGTCAAGGACAATGGTAAGATAATCACTGAGATTCAAGAACAGAAAAGCAGGTGGGTAGAACACTTTGAGAAACTCTTTAATAGACGAGCCCACTAAACCCACCGGATATAGAAGCACCAAGCACAGACCTTCCTATAGAATTCACTCCACTAACCATAGAACAAATCAACATGGACATCAGACAAATCAAGAGTGGGAAAGCAGAAGGATTTGACAAAATACCAGCCGAAGCACTGAAGTCAGACATAGAAGTAGTTGCAAACATGCTCCACGTTCTATACAGAAAAGTGTGGGAGGAAGAACAAGGGCCGATAGACTGGGAAGAAGGATACCTCATCAAGATACCACAAAAACAAGATCTCAGCAAGTGTGAGAACTACACAGACGTCACAGTGCTATCAGTTATCAACAGAGTGTTGCTGAACTGGTTGAAAAGTCCAGTGGACGCCCAACAGGGAGGTCAACAGGCTGGAAGCAGATATTAAAAGGATGAATAGCAAATCGAAACAGATTGGAAGGATTGTCCAGCACAGGATTGGATGGAGAATGCTGATAAGTAAAATTTCTCAAAAATATATTTAAATATCTATAACAGATAGACTTACGCTTGAATATATTCCTCTTGCTGTTGTGATGTTTCATTCAGCAATATTTCTGTAATATCCTTTAAAAAAAGTGAATACATTATTTCTAAACAATAAATCTTCATACGTAAAATAGACAAGAATGGACATATTTACATGAGTAGTTTATTTAATAGGAAGTAAGTACGGATAAGTTTTATCTAACTCGAGATTCATAAGTGAAGAGGTAGCTTAGTGGGTAAAGTGTTTGAATTTCAGTTACTAATCCTCAGGTTTGAACTGCGTTTCTCCTAATTTGGTTTGGGTAACCGAGTAGTATAAAAAAGACAAAGGAAAAAACTCACTCACTAGGTACTTGTGTATGAACCACAATCTAAACGCAAAAGCTGGTGTTACTATCGTATATAACATTTGTTCAAAACCATCCTAAATACATGTGTGCTGGTAACCTTATAAATAGTAGCTATCAGTGAAATCCAAGAAGTGTGTTTCTCCTAATTTGAGACTCGAGCAACTTGTAACTAAGTGGCAATATAGAGACAATCCGCTACAGTGCATATATACTAATAACGACTAATCAATTGTAGTCTTCAACATTAACAGCGAAAAAAAAGCAATTACAAACTCATTATTGATGCTTTAGTTAGTCAAACCAATTTTTATCACAATTGATTCACTATTCTAAATATACACAGTAAAAATAGCAAACATTAAAAAACTACTGCATTTTTATTTCGGTTTGCTGTTGACCAGTCTGTCAATTATAAGCTATGTAGGATCTGATACAAATGTGCATCCACTAAAGTTATCAGATTTCATGTCAAGCACCTAGGAAAGTAAACTGAAAATGTGTAAATCAAAAAAGTCAAAATAATTATGATATTGGGAAAACTAAACAAGAACTGAAGTAGAATACCTCTCCATATTCTACTAGACATCTTCGAAATCAAACTTCCAGAAACTGTGAAGGTAGTCCCTGAGTTGACGAAGTATGATACCACTTTTTTATTGTCCAGAAGGTGAATGGATTGAAAACCCAAATCTGTCAATCATCCACACTCTTATTCAATTAGCGCAAGCGGATAATTGAAGAATACTACAGAGTGTTCCTGTACTAATGTCCTTACTGTGATCCACCTCCATTTAACTTTGTTTGTATGAAATATAATTACATACCCGTCTAAGTGGCGTTCTGATTTTGAGGACTAGTTAAGGGAACTAGTGTCCGGCAAATACCAAGCAATGAGGATGTCTGGGTCGGATTACAAAACGGTTTACACCAAGGCTAGTACCAACAGTATACCTCCAATTTGAGTACATAAAAACCAGTAGTTCATGAATAAATTAACATTTCCATCTTTTTATCTATAGAATAATGAATAATCTTCCGAAAGCTAATTGCTTAAATAAATTGTCAGCCTATATTTTCAACTCATTAATTTAGCTCATTTATCACGTACAGCTTTAGTGTACTGAGTTTTGAGTCATATTTTATTAATGAAGGCTAATATAATACTACCCAACTTTCAGAACAGGATTAAGAGAAGGGAGATTCCTACCTTTAATTAAATAGATTGAAAATTGAACATCTTAACCACTGAACCACTACTTCACTGAGGCATTAACAGAAAGAATAACAAGTCTAGGTTTTCAATAGTGGTCTAACATTGATCAGTTCATGATCTCAATTAAAAACTCAACAATCTTCACAATCTTAAACTTTTTAAAAAAAACGTGTTAAATAATAAATGTTAAACACCTACTTCAAAATAACACAATGTTTCATCTTCACCACCAGTGAAAAAACCTGATTCATCAGGGCAAATAGCTAATGACCATATTCTTCCATCATGTGCTTCATAAACTAAAGATGAAGTTTCTTCAGAGGATGGTTTATCAAAATTTTCTGCTTTTTCTTGATTATTTTTAGGTGGTTTAGATATATTCCACAATCTTATTAATCCTTTCTGATCGCTTGAAAAAACATTATTTGAAAAAAAATAAGGAATAAATATTAGGAGTGTCATTAGTGAAATTCGATAGATGCATGTTAGAAACATTAAGGTATAGAATATCATCATCTTGAAACACCGACTTCGGTGGCTTGGACATGTTCTACGAATGTCGTCCCAGAGAATTCCACGTCGTGCATTATTTGCCGACTCTGGGACTGGTTGGAAAAAGAGGAGAGGTGGTCAGTATATGACATGGTGTCGTGGTATGAAAGAAAGCTGCAAAGGGCTAGCTTCTGTTGGTCCTTCACGACTCCCTGGTTGGGGTCCGAGAGACGGTGTAACGCAGTGGCTAGAGACGTTATCAGATATGGCTCAAAATAGAAGCCAGTGGCGATCCTGCTGTAACCTTTTACTTTCTTCATAAAAAATAGTTGTATCTTCCTTAACTGTAAGATTTCTTCTGAGCGTACCTTTTCGTCTCCCCCACTATTGTTCTCTTTTTTTACAATTCCCTACGTTCCTTACTTTTTTCTCCCCTTCTCTTCAAATTATCATTGTTTTGTGTAGCGCATATATATTTGGTGCCCCCCTGTACCAATATTTATGTGTTCAAATAAGTAAATAATAAGGTATAGAAAATTATTAGATAAACATGTTACTTATCCTTACAAAATTAAATCTTCATTTATATATTCTTTAAACTCCCCATGGAAACCGTATTTCATTTTTACTATGCAAGTAAAGACGTTACTTTAACACGACAAATGTCTATCCAAATTTCAAGGTTTTTGTACATGAATTTATACGTATTTATCAGTATAGGGGTTATGGAGATTGTTGAGTTTTGATTTAGATTATAAATTATGTATTTGTTTAAATCAGTCTTCTCTGGTTTCTAGAATGAAATTACATTTTGGAGTAGGAAAGTATGAGGGAGGTTGGTGTTGTTTCGTGTAATAATATATATGGAGTACAAATGGAATATGTCCCCAAAAACCACTTAAAACTCAGTTGTTAAAACATGGTAGAGAAAATGTATGATATAAAGACACACGTTTATTTGTTTATATGAGATAAAATGAACACTTTTGACTTATTTATTTGAACACAAAATTTGGTACAAGGGGGCACCAAATACATGTACGCCACACAATAATAATGAGGCTATTATTGACTTGTGTGACGGCTGGAATACTGTCCGAGTGCCCGAATCGAAGCAGGTGGTTTTAATAGGTCAAAACCGGAGCCTTTGACCTAAAGGTCTGATCCACAAGGTAGTCGAGCATCGTGAGGAGATTCAGTCCCATGGTAGCCGGTTACCAACAATAGGTTCATACGCCTTTTGTTCCCTCAGGATACTAGAGCCCATGTGCACCAAAGGTTTAGAATCAGGGTTTTCCAACTTCCTAGGTGGATCCTTCGTCCTCACAAACCCCTTTAAAGCACAGGACATCAGCTTTTCGTCCTCTCAGTTTCGTAAACAAAACCCCCAACGCGAGGAGGCAGTGAGTATGACTTCCCTGGCAGTGGCTGTATATGTGTGGCCATGTAAGAGCATTTCGAGATGAAGAGCGGACATTTACGGTTAGTCTATCTATCCGATTGTGTAAACATGATCAAAGCATATGACAGATTTCCTTAGATTACAAAGTATAGTAGCTAAAATTAATGGACGATTCCTAATGTTCATTACTTACTTTCTCATTTTACAACTTCTATAATAAGTATGGAGAATGTGGGCAACAATATCATTTTTTCAACTTTTTCACCATTAACTTACCATGATAATATTTGTTTATCGTGAGAAAGGAAAACTGCCTTATACACTGGTTGATCATGGCCTTCCAATGTCTGAAAATTAATGAAATTAACATAGCAATGAAGAGACAGTTTTAATCAAGAATTGATAGCAGTGGAAAAACTATCGAAAACAACAAGTAAGCCATTGAACAGGTATCCAATTCTAGTGTGAAATTACTCAGTATTTCACATACATGACTCTATCAGGAATAGAATCCAGGGAATTCAAGACTCACAGGTAGTACATAAACTTTAGAATGTTAAGTAATAATCCGATAGTCTACATTTCCAATCTAAGTCTATTCGTGGTACGGCACGGCTGTGATTAACGAAGATAATATATTTCGTGAACACCTCTGATCACAACTTCTAGTTCTATAACTTCAGTAATCTATCTTCTAATTATACACTAATAGACCAATCTCCATAATTCACCCGAATAAAAAAACGGATAAGTATGGGTTAGAAACTTCATTGTTTTCACAAATAGTTGTCAAAATTAACAATCGGTGAAAATATAGTTAGTTCTTCAATGCAATATATAGATAAAGTAAGATATAAATCATGAATTAACTGGAAGAGTAGATCACTATACTTTATATAAAATCTGAAGATAAGGATTTAAAAGACTATCAATAATACTAACTGTAAATCCTCATAATATTCTCTTAAATAAACCAGAAGTTTCAAATGTCCAGAAATTGATATACGACAAACTGCTACATAGTCTATGTGCCCTTAAATAAGCAGATGATTTACTTACCTGTTTCAAAGATAGAAACAGATATGGGAATTGAGACAACGTAATGTGATGGTATAAATATTTATTCGATCACCAACATACAAAGGCTAATAAGAGACTTTGTAAATAAATGAATTTATCAAAGTAATCAACCATTTCGCCCAACATATTCATTCAATGAAATGATGTAGATGTCTTGAAGCAATATATTGTATTCGACAGACAAAAATTGTAGTCTAATCATTTGAGTACTGTATCTCAATACATTTGAATGATTCACATTTATTTATTTATTTATTTATTTTAACACAAGTATAGGTACAGGGAGGCACCAAATACATATGCGCCACACAAATCTCAATTGATTTGTGTGAGGGCTGTGATACTGCCCGGGTGCCCAAACCGAAGCAGGTGGTTTTCTTAGGGGGCCACACCCCAAGCCTTCGACCTGAACGTCTGACCCACAAGGCAGTGGAGCATCGTGAGGAGATGCAGTCCCATGGTAGCCGGTGACCAACGATTGGTTCATACGCCATTTGTTCCCGCAGGATACTGGAGCCCATGTGCACCATTGGTTTGGGGTCCGGTTAAAGCGCCAGACATTCGCTTTTAGTCCTCTCATTTTTGTAAACAACACCCCCGCCACGAGAAGGCAGTGAGTAGGACTTCCCTGGCAGAGGCTATATACGCATGGCCATGTGAGAGCATTTCGAGAGGGAGAGCGGTCTCTCCCCACTTTCGGCCGTACCAGGGCATTTCACATTTAGTGAAAGGGCAAACAATAATAGTGGGCAAATCTATAAAAGCAGTTAGGACAATTTCCACAATATACTAAACATAGGTTTCATGAGACAAATTGTTCTTGACAGCAAAAGTGAGTGGATTTGACCGACTATAAATCGATTCGCTGTGCAATGTCTATTAGAAAAACATTCAGATTCATCTGTTGCTTATCGAGCAATCAGATACAAATTCTAGTAAGTAAAATCAGTACATGACTGTGAGTAATTCAAAGTACAATCAATGATAAATTTGTATGGTTGAGAGACCAGAAGATGCAATTATGTGTATTGGGAAACAACTTGTTGTAACTTGACAAAATAATGGTAAGGCCATTTTTATAACTGAGGACACAACTGGTTACTTACTGCTATATAACAAAAAGAAGACTGACGCTACTTACTGAATGGGAAGGTAAAACTGTGGATGAAGACATTAACCTCAAATACACGACTGATAAAAATTGTACCAACAACTAAAATGGGTCATATATAATTTCGTTATCTGCTCAATAATTCAGTTTTAATACATTGAATGGGGGATTACTTGACATGAACTAACTAATGATTTAATACATGTTTACAATTGACAACAACAGCAACAATAGATATTATTGGATTCACTAACAAGATAATAAATTACTGAGTTGAATATCTGCTTCACCTGACGCTACTCGTGAGTAACATAATGAATTCAATTAAAAATATACAAAAAAGCCGTTTAAAAAAGAAACAACCAACTTACACGGATACATGAGAAATCTTTCAAATTCCACAATCTCACATCTCCATCACCCGAAGCAGTAAGTACAATCTTTAGAAATAATGTCAAACAAATATTGTACAATATTTCGTTTTACCAAAGACGAATTTAAATTAAAAGGAAAATAATTTACAATACATAATGGAACTATCTGTATAGGGTCGTGGAGAACGTTAAATTTTTGATTAAGATCATGAACTGATTGACGTTAGGCCACCGTTGAAAACCTGGAAGCACTGGATGGCCATATCATCCTATTGTGGGATTCCTCAGCAGTGACCCTGGAATCGTGGATGCGAACTGTTGAGGAGTCCCACAACAGGACGAAACGGTCATCCAGTGCTTCCAGGTTTTCAATGGTGGTCTAAGATCAATCGGTTCATGATCTCAATCGAAAAAATACAATGAAACTGTTCATGAAGTTATGGTTTATTACAAAAGGAAAGGAAATTTTTACTTTAATTTGTGTTATTCTACTACAAAAAGAGTATTAACTTGAAATTAAACGAATTGTGTTTGAAAATATCGCATGAAGTTATTTTATTTATTTATTTATTTTAACACATAGATATTGGTACAAGGAGGCACCAAATACATATGCGCCACACAGATCCCATTTGATAAGTGTGAGGGCTGTGATACTGCCCGGGTGCCCAAACCGAAGCAGGTGGTTTTCTTAGGGGGCCACACACAGAGCCTTCGACCTTAAGATCTGATCCACAAGGCAGTGGAGCATCGTAAGGAGATGCAGTCCCATGGTAGCCGGTGACCAACGATTGGTTCATACGCCATTTGTTCCTTCAGGATACTGGAGCACATGTGCACCATCGGTTTGGGATCCGGTTAAAGCGCCGGACATTCGCTTTTCGTCCTCTCATTTTCGTAAACAACACCCGTGGTGCGAAAAGGCAGTGAGTAGGACTTCCCTGGCAGGGGTTATATACGCGTGGCCATGTGAGAGCATTTTGAGAGGGAGAACGGACTCTCCCCACTTTCGGCCGTACCAGAGCATTAGGGGGCTGTCACATTTTTAATGGTATAAAAACACAAAATTAATAGAAGAAAATTACTATAGCGAGTATATAGGATAAGGCTTAAACATAGGAAAAATAAGCTAAAAATTACTCTCTATTTTGTAATTTTATCGGTTAATTATAAACTGACTGTTATCTTATTGGTCGATATCTTAATCTGTTTGGCTACAACATTGAAAGTTATTTTGTGCTCCTGTATACTAAGATTTGATTTTTTGCGTTCACCACCTTGATTGTGAGCTTGACATTAATTATTATCTTCAGTATGAGGTTTTGTGAAGATGAGTAGAATTCTCATAGTTTAAATGAATTAATCATAGTTAAGCTACTATTGAATACTAGGAAACACTGGACAGTTGTTTCTTCTTAGTATAGTACTCCACGCCAGTGAACTTTCACAACCCCATCAAGAGATCGGATCCAGGATATTCGGTCTCACACGTGAACACTTAGCCATAGACTACTGACCTGAAATTCAATAATGTACATACCAATTTATGATATTGCGTGACCACCTTTAATTAAGTACTGTGGATAACTGTCCCACACTCGACATGCCCGAGCTCTACTAGTCATAGCTTCTCACTCGACCTCCAGGAATCGCATCTTAAAGCTATCCACCGGCGAGCACATGATTATTATTAATGTAGGGATTGAAAATGAATTTAAATATCACTGATCGATTGATGTTATATTTATTTCATTACTTAACACATTAGTATCAATCAAGTTTTATGTGTAGAAGGTGCCCAGGTGTCACATCTAAAATTTTACTAGCATCCAATCTGAAACGAGACATCCAAGTGGTTGGTTTAAACTCAACTACAAACCACGTTTGCTTTTTTCTCAAGACATGATCCTTACTTATGTAGTTCCAATCAAAGCAGTGGTACATGGTTTAATTGTTAAATATTTGAATAACATGAAAATCGTCAATAAGTAACCCATTTTCTTTAACAGATCTATAGAACAAGGATAAAAAAAGTGAATAGATCTTACTTTCTCAAATTTTGAAAAGCAAACAGACCAAACACCTCTACGGTGACCCTGAAGAACCCCTTGACAATGTAAACTTTGTTTTTTAAATTCCCATATCTAAAATTTCATGAAATAAAAAAAACTATTGAAATAACTGGACGAATTAATTAAAGATACAAAATACTACATCATGAATAGGAGCGTGTAAAACTAACAATATGAAATGTAATATTATTAATTATTTCATTAACAATTAAACAAAGATTCAGTTACCTGACCAGTGTGTAAAAGAAAATACAATGAATTGTTAGTTACCTTGACAGTTTTATCACGTGACGCAGTAGCAACAAGACGATTATCAACGGAAACATCAATTGAATTGATTACTCCGCCATGGGCTCCGTGAATTGTGTTTAATTCTGATAACACAGTATCTGGTTTATCTAAGTTATTACACTGAACATTCCAAACTTTTAAAATACCGTCTTCTGAACTAGATATAAGATGTGTTGTCAATCTGTATAATACAAATAAGCATAGAGTATTTAATGTGCACATTTTCTTACAAATAAACTAATCATAACCGTTTTTCATGAAAAACTACTTGAACACGAATGAGATGATGCTATGCTAATGTATTTTCTTTTTTCCCAGCAACTTTTGTCAAGTCTTTAGATTTCCTTAATCTTTACAACTTTTGAAAACCTTAAAAATTAGTGAAAATTAATAAAATTCACGTGAAGTTTGTATTTTAATCGCTTAAATCGTTCTTTACACTTAGGGTTCCGGGGATAATTTACAATACCTAGATGTGAATAAAAATGGTGTAACTTGTATGGAACTAATACGACGTCAAAAAGTTAGGTCTAACAGTCAGGTATTAGTTGATTGGAGAATGAATGATCTGCAAACTAATTTCCGCCAATTGCCTATGGCATTTATTCATGTTTATTCTTCTGCTGATATTTTGAAAATAGAAGCATGCCACAAAAGAAAGCCTATTCTTCTGGCTTATGGTCTTGTCTTTGTTTTCAGATCACTTGGCGGCTGACGTCATGTGAACACATATCAGACACCCACATCATATTCTTGCATATCGTCTATTGATAAGTATTTCTTTCTTACACTTTAACAATCGAAAATTCACTTTATAAAATCATAGATGCCTATACCACAGAAGTAACAACTTTTACCTATATTCAAAATGAAGAGGCATATAGACGTTGTCAAACCCCAACCGTTTACAATCATTTCGCATTAAAGAAAAATAAATGAAAGGTTATCAGGGGATTAACCATCATAACATATAAAAAATAGAATATCGAGGTCTTATAGATGTTTAAACCTTCAAAGCTGTGACACTGGATATACTATAGTTAAACTGACTTCCTCTAAACACACTATAATCCATTTACCATGATTGATAAGGAATACGAAGATAGAACAAACATTAGTGAGCTTAGTGATCAGATTATTAATTATTTATTTATTTATTTTAACACATAGATATTGGTACAAGGAGGCACCAAATACATATGCGCCACACAGATCTCATTTGATAAGTGTGAGGGCTGTGATACTGCCCGGGTGCCCAAACCGAAGCAGGTGGTTTTCTTAGGGGGCCACACACAGAGCCTTCGACCTGAAAATCTGAGCTACAAGGCAGTGGAGCATCGTAAGGAGATGCAGTCCCATGGTAGCCGGTGACCAACGATTGGTTCATACGCCATTTGTTCCTTCAGGATACTGGAGCACATGTGCACCATCGGTTTGGGATCCGGTTAAAGCGCCGGACATTCGCTTTTCGTCCTCTCATTTTCGTAAACAACACCCGTGGTGCGAAAAGGCAGTGAGTAGGACTTCCCTGGCAGGGGTTATATACGCGTGGCCATGTGAGAGCATTTTGAGAGGGAGAACGGACTCTCCCCACTTTCGGCCGTACCAGGGCATTTGGGGGCAGTGATCAGATAGAAAGTTAGAAAAATTGCAAAGAAAAATTGTGAATGTCAGTTTTAATGATGTATGCATAAGAAGCAGGGATATGTAGACAATGTGTTTTACTATCCAAGATGGATGATTACATTCACTATAAGAAGAATATTTTGATCAGACGGGGGGAAAAAAGTGAGACCGCGTTTTTTCTCTTAATTCGGTGTGATTGTTGCTGAACATTGTTTCCTCTTTTCAAATTCATTGTGATAACTGCTTAGAATGATATTCGGTTTATTTTTAGGGTAATACTTTGCTCAACATAAGGTCGCTTTCATTTTCAATATGATTTTTATCCAGTATGATATTATTTGTTTTAAATGAACGTGAACTACGTTCAGCTTGACATGGGACATGTGGTGTTTTTTATAACTCTAGGTGTTTTAAATACTTGTGACGCTTTCTAATTAATAATCCAATGAGTATATAAATTAAGACACAACTGAGTGTATTTTTGATTAGGATAGTTGTGTTTTCAAGGGAGTAAATCATCACTTGTACCAGTGTTTTGTGTAGTGGATTGTAAGAACTGTAGTGGTTTCTCATCTCTTCAAAGATAAGTAATAGGATGTGACGAGGACATGACAATACATATTCGCTTATATCTTTTTTTCTAAAAGACAAATTTTATTGACCATAAATAGTAAAAGATATCATTCAAATCAGTGCATGATATAGTAGTTATGTTAGATTTAGTGATTCAGTTTAGATTATGTGTTTCCATAACACTTAGATACTTAAAATACTCGAGAACTGTGATACCTTTTGGGAAATCAATAAACATACTGGAAGTCTAAAGTACAGCTATTTGGTTGTATTTCAGATATTCTATACAGTTTAACCATTATCATTTGCTATCCATATCATTATCATTTACAAATTCTATACCACGACGACTTTCTGTACAAAAAAAAATTAAAAGTAATATTGTGTCCAAAGTGCATTCAAATCATAAGTTTTCATTTACGGAAAAACAGTTCAATCAGTTTAAACAAGAGACTGATTAAATTTGTTCATAGATTTATTGACTTACCTATCAAAACAAACAGAACTGATATGAGCAGCATGTGCCTTATGAATTTGAGTAATAAGATCCAATCTGACAGGAACATTCTTAGATTTATGTAATGACGACGATGTTGAATCTTCTGATTCTATTAAATGCCATAAACAAACAGACTGATCTTTAGAACCACTTGCAATCCATTGACCACATATGGATACAGTCAAATCCATAATCACATCAGTATGACCCCCGGGAATAAGATGACATTTCCATGAACTATTTGTTTTACTATTAAGATTATCTTCAGTTGTATTTTTTCCCTTTAAACTGAGCCCATATGGATTTAGGAAAATTTTCATATGAGGTGACGCATCAGCTAGAATGAGATAATTGTGATTTTTGCCTACAATGCATAATTGATCAACTTGTCCAATATCACCTAAAAACTGTTAAAATGAAATTTAAATTGTACTTTAAGAAACTGGATATTCTGGTCTCTTATTTGTATTTATTTATTTGAACACATAGATATTGGTACAAGGAGGTAGCAAATACATATGCGCCACACAAATCTCATTTGATTTGTGCGAGGGCTGTGATACTGCCCGGGTGCCCAAACCGAAGCAGTACTCGAAGTAGTAACTTGAAAAAACTGGGAAGGATTGTCCAGGACAGAGTCCGACGAAGAATGCTGGTGGACGGCCTATGCTCCTCTACGATGGGTAACAGGCGAAAGTAAGTACATATGTTTGTAAGAATTTTAGAAAACGAATGATGACTTCATTCAGGGCAAAAAGAAATAGTATAACCTTTTAGGTTTTTGATTTCACGTATTCTAATCTGCCATCATACTCGAACTAAACAATAAACCTGTCATGATTTGAGATTTGACTACCTAAATCAGTAAGAAGAGTGACAATCAAGTTACTTATCCCAATTTGTGAATAATGATGGATGTGTGTAAGTTTTCTTTAGGAAATAGATAATATACAGAGCACTGATCTCGATAACAATATGATTTCTAGTAAACTTAAACAGAAAGTTTTAGAATAACCAAAAACTCTTGAAATAACCGTAATTTTTGCAGTACTAGTATACATGTAGACTGCTGATTCGTAACAATTTTTGATATAGGGAGTATTTGTAGTTTATGATGGGGATTTCGTGCGTGTTGCATTTTCTAAGTTGGATGGGTTATTCATAAACCTTTCATTATTTATCTAGATTACGGGATCCGATTGGTTAGCGTTCACAATTGTGTGAAATGAATCAGTGAAAGTGGAGACATTAGCTTGTGTATTTGGTCAAGAGAGATAGATTATAATCTATAAAGGCAGTGATAATACCCAATGGTTTGAACTGAATTAGATGAAACGTGGTTCAAAGATACAGCTTTAATACTAAAGTAAACAATCCACTTTAAGAGGAAAAAACAAATCGCCACATACATTCAACCGATCATAACTGAGTTATATTAATGCGTATAATATTAATGATCCAAGATATGTTGCACGATTTTTACACTTAATGTTCGGAAGCATTACGAATAGCAAACTTATATTTTCAAAAAATTATGAGATGAACAAACTAAGAATAAAACTACCGTACCTCAGCCGTTAATTTGCCGACCATTGGGTCATAAAATTCAACATGATTACTTTGACGCACAAGAATTAATCGTAAGGATGAGTTTTCACTTTCATCCAACACATTATCATTACTGTCTTTTATATTGTATACATTCAAATGACTGATGGAATGAAGTCCATAATCAATTGAGTGGCGATCTAACGCAGCGGAACTACCAGAATCAGACTGAGGAGTCCGATCTAGGGGACCTTTGATCTCTAATACACAACGCCCAGTATCTACATCCCAGCAACGCAAACAGCCCCACTGACCTCCAGTCAACAATAAAGAAGTATTGCTTTCAGAAAACGTGTGACCCAAGTGATTTGTTAATGCGCCAACAGGAAGGAAAGTACAAGCTTCTAAGCTCTATAAAATTGAGAAATATGAAAACTGTAATTAGGAATTTTGTAAATTGTTTATTATCTAACAAAACCAAGTTAATCCAATCAAAAAGAAGATAAAGTTTTCTAGGTAAAAGTTAAACAGAAATATACTTTTTTGTTGTTAAAATTGATCATTATAGATAGTTATAAATTCTGTAGTTTAGTTCAGGAAACTGATAAATACATGTACTGAATTTGGACCTGGCACAAAGTGTATAATTTCAGGTTGCTAAACTTTGATACAGCGCAGCAGCATGCCAAGATAAATGGGGAAGTAAATAAAAAACAAGTCGATACGAAAAATAAGGTGACAGAACTTTTCAGACTTTAGAATGAAAAACAGAAAGCAGTTTCTTCATTGTGCATGATTTCGTGTCGTATTTCCCTAGGTCTCCAACCATCGACTTTAAATACCTTGTGGATCACATTCAAGAAAACTACGTTTTATTAATATCACTGATAAGGCTATATTATTTGGGTATAGATAATCTATTTAAAGACTTCTCAACAAAATATTGACCTTCGAAACATTAAAAGAGAAGGATGTTATGGTGTGCATCACAATTAAAAACGTTATTTAAAGAAATAACATAAATATTAGCTAAATCTAACGCGTCGGCACTACATTATTATTTAGGATTATAAAAACACCTTGAAAAATTCAGACTAGCTTTGTCTCACTGTTATCATCTCTCATATTTTTTCTCAGTGAATAACTATGACACATTTGCTACTAATATTCCTTACGGTTTAAAACCTGAAAAGTTGATTTTACCATACAGGAATACTAAATAATATTTATCCTTATCAAAGTTAATCGTACGCTCGTAACGATACACTAAACTGTCGCAAGAGTACATTTTTACATATGTAAAACAAGCACAAGTTTATTAAAACTGCTTAGAAACACTGATCATGGTTAATGTTTGCCAACATTTCGGTTTTCCATACCGAAAGTAAGTGCGTATTACATTTATCACATGACTTATAGATTAGTCAAACTAAATATATACCACGGTAAATAATATTATTAATAGATATTTTACGAACTTGTTGATTAATTTCTGAGTTCTTTTAGTCTGGTAAATATATACATAAAAGGGAACACTTTGTCAACTGTTTTACAACTTAAACTGAACTGTTGTTAAGCATAGTAAAAGATATACATAGTTACATACACAGATAGCTTTTATTATTTTAATTAGATACCGGTCAAAAACAGAATTGTGGTTGCCCCCAACTATCGCTCCTGGGCAGATTTGAATCCGCGTTACCAGCTTTACAGTCACAGTCGTTATTCCTGAGCTATCCAAGCCGAGACAGACCGTCTGCAAAACTAAAATGTATTTACAACTGATTGGTTGCTGGGTAGCGACTATAATCATTTGTCAGAAGCACTCAATGTCGAGTCACCTAGACTAATGACTGTACCAAGGACCTGAGATACATGACAATGATCGCTACCCAGTGATCAACCAATTGTAGATCAATTTACTCAACATTACACGTACGCCTAGCCAACTAGTGCCAGCCAGTCAGTCAGTAACAATGTAGAACTTCGTTCGTATGTACATCACTTCGAGTTGCCATACCACATTAGCACAGAAATGTAACTTTCGATTCAAATCCCATAGTGGTAGAGGTAATAAAAGTATATTTTATTATTATTTTTAACACAGATATCGGTACAAGAAGGCACCAAATACATATGCGCCACACAGATCTCATTGGATATGTGTGAGGGCTGTGATACTGCCCGGGTGCCCAAACCGAAGCAGGAAGTATAAACAGTAATCGGAAGGATTTGGGTTCGAAGATGTTATTGAAGGAGTATAATCTACTGAAATATATTTGGAAAGAGAAAAGATAAGGGACATGAAGTATTCAGAAGATTAAAATTTGGGTGAACACAAAGAGTGGATGCACCTGCGCACACCATTGCAAACGATTTTGAGCCATGTGATTCAGGGTCTCTAACCGTCGGTTGCTATCATCTCGCGGCCCCCAACCAGGTATTCTACACCTACCAACATGTCTCAGTCCACCAGTCAGTCAGTCAGCTGCAACGTAGGACCAGGCACGTATAGGCATCGGTCCAAGTTGCCACACCGCATTAGCACAACAAGATGAACACCGGATTCATAGAAGTAGTTAATTCAATGGTGGTAATATATAGAAGAAAGATTGCATATAAGGAGATAGTACAGGAAGAAAGAATTAATTCCTAGAAAGAATGATATGAAGCGATTTTAATCTCTTAGTTTAAAGGAAGACAGAGAGTGTATACACCGACGCCATTGTGATCGATTCCGAGCCATGTCACCGAGTCTCCAACCATTGATTACGATAGTCACACGGACCCCAACCAGGCAGTCTGAATCTACCGACATGGCTCAGACCAGAGGTTAGTGACTTCAAGCACTGATGCCACGTTTTGGTTTGGCCGCCCCTAACTTTCTTCCAATTATCCCTAACACCGGTTAGCATTGCGCGCCGTGGTAATCGGTGTTCAGGCATACACGATGAAGATTCATAACCTCATCAACTGATTTACCATCATTCCCTAATACCTTGCGTCTAACCTCACTATTACTTACCAGTCAGTGACTTCATGGATTTGTGCCATGTTTTGGTCTGTCCGCCCCTAGCTTTCTTCCAACCTACTTCTACACCATTGAACATCGCACGTGCGAACCAACCTCCTGACTACCTTGAATCATCTAATATCAAACATAGTGGACAGAATTTTGCATCACTGAGACTGGTGGTTACGTCATAACTTCATTGATCGAGTTCGATAAGCACTAGAACTAGACAAACATAACATTCGTTAGAACAGAGTGATCAACCAATGTACGTTTAAATATTCCTTTACATGACTTACTTCAAAGGTAGGTATGACTTTTTGTTTTGTGAAGTCTACGAACGACCAGACAATAATAACTTTATCGCGCCCACATCTGAAAACACATGATACAGATAAATTTTGTTTCTTACGTAACTAATTCATTCTTTCCTACATTGAAGTCCAAACTTGAAACAATGCTTTGATGACCTTCTAGAGAAGAGACATGTTTTCCAGTCTCAGTGTCCCACACAGCTACAAAGTGATCACCCACTGATGATGAGAAAAGGTACGGTAATGTCGGATGGAATTTCAGTAGTCTGTAATGGAAGTGAAATCCAGGAAATGTTCAATAAAATACTTCATAATAATAATATGCATCGAAAATTAGTTTTCACCAGTGTACGATATTATCTCGACTTCTGTAATACAGCTACATACTACTAAGTACGTTTTCATGTTGTGGAAAATATTTGTCAGATACACAATTGATATTATTCCCGGTGCCCAGACAGAAGCAGAAAGTTTTCTCAGGAAGTCACTCCCTGAAACTTTGAACTAGAGCTCTAACTCACAAGATACAGTCTCATGGTAGCCGCTGACCAACAATAGGTTCACACGTCATTTGTTTCTTCAGGATTCTGAAGCATATCTGCACTATCGGTTTAGAATCAGGCTGTATACGCGTGACCACTTGAGAGCATTTCCAGAAGGAAAGCGGACTCACCACCGGCCGTACCATGGCATTTGAGGGCTACTATACTTCACATGGTACACTGGAAGAAAACTAAACAAATGGAATCTGAATGTACAAATAGGAACATCTTATTAATATATTAAGGCAAAAAATCAAAGGCCACCTGACCAAAGTGTTGTTTCAATGTGGGATTTCACAACCGCAAAGCATAACAATGGATGGTGGTGTTGCAAGTGGAGAGAATTAATAAATGTAAACTATGGTTTAGCCAATCATATCCGAAGTTCGTTTATTGTTATTAGAGTTGTCATTACTTTTGCACATTTCTGGTGTAAGCACACGTGAACATATGACATGAAAAACATTCATTTGAAATTGTCAGTGATTTTACGCCTAACATAGTATCACTAAGCGATGTTCTATCATTTTATTTGGCTAAATTGACAATTTCAAACCAGCCAGCATAAAAATGATCAAATCCACATTTTTGAGTACATCAATATAATCGTTTTTCAAAGTAAAAGTTTATAAATACCTACTTCATTCTTAAACCAGTACAAGAATTCATCCAGAGTATTGTCACTTACCATGTCAAGTCTAAGAACATTAGAATTGCACTATGATGAGCTTTTGAGTTTAGACTTTCAGTGCTGGTTATCCAAAGGACCAAAACACATCAGACGATAGAATTTAATAGTGCAGTGCACAACCCCGTAACCTACTGTACCCAATGCCTTTACAGTAAATAGTTACGATGCAAAAATGAGACGCTTATGTATACCATTAGCCGCAACATGAAAATGTCAGGTACTTGGGATTTGTCAGGAATGTCATAACAGTTACCACGTATGATAGAAACACTGGACTCTAACAAATCTGAGATGAGAAAAAATCTAAGAACCGTTCAATTAGTTTAGACCAAATAGGATGTCAGATTAACTGTAAAAGTTCTTTGCTAACAGATGAAAATATTTAAACTAGAAGTACATGTTTATTTGAATCGTCTCTTTAGTAAGCTAAGAACCATCAGATAGTCCAGCTGAGTTGTTACTGAGGACGTATGTTGTTTGAAATTTTAAGTGTTAATCTCTACGTGTACCAATACAGTAATTTGAATTGGATAAAATTAAAACAGTTTACATACGTTATCATTCCCTGGTGCAGTCGACAGCTTGTTGAGAAGCCCTCCTTTGGACCAATATGCCATAATCTAACAACCATATCTCCGGAACCGGTAGCTAATCGTGTTGAAATTTTGTTGAGAGCCATTTTCTGCACGATTCTTTGATGACAAGACTAGCCAGAAAATCAGAGTTCCAAATGAACTACTTACCATCCATACTTTTGTGGGCCTTAGTGAAAGGCTATCAAGACGTTTTAAAAGCAAGTTCTTAGTAGCAATAAATATCTCCTACAGAATAAGAAACGAAAAATGTGTTTACCGATCCAGCTTCATTGACAACGAAAGATGTGATAACCTCATCATCCTGAAACCAAGTCAAAAACATCAAACACTTTACCCGAATTCTGTTGACCAAAGCGAACGAATTTTTATCTAGTACATTTATACACAATGAGTCGTCAACATCTCTTCCACAATAAATTTTTCCTGACTTGGTGTGCTGTGTATTTTAATTATAATGCAATGCGATTCACTTACGAAGATTGGATATTGAGAGTTAAAGCAAGGCTGAAACTTATCAGCTAGTTTGAACCTTCATAAGAGACTTATTAAAATAGTTTGAAGCCTACTTTAGTTTAGTAGCCATGTGACTGAAGTCAATAAGAGCGCCGGCGTTGAGGTAAAGTCAAGGTCTCTAGGACTCAGAATAATGTCCTATTATTCATGATTAACAACTTTTTGATAATTTTAGAGACTGATCAACTCTTTTGCTTCAGATAAACTCTGCCTTATGATAAGTCTAATATTGCACTTCTACTGATCAAAATTATCGGTTTTCGGACAAATACAAATGGTGTTTGGAAGCATTGGACCGCCTATTCCTTCACGTAAAGACCTAGGTACATAAAATAAGTAAAATTAACAAAGGCACTAGAACACTGGTATGAAATAGTATTCCGAGTTTTTAGCGATGTATTAAGTCACCTTTTGAAGGATATAAATGGTGTTGCATGGACCACTTTGGCCTGTGGTGAGTCCAAGTATTTAATACGCTCAGCTAGTTGGCGTACCTACAATCAATGTCAAAACATTTTGACAGCATCATCGGTGAACAAGGAGGATCTGATGCAGATGTGAAGGCATGGACTAACAGAGTACGTGTTCTTATTACCGCAAACGCTCCAAAGAACTTGAAACTGAGGGGCTGAACGTTATGTGTGTTGCACGGTCATCAAAGTACCAATAGTGCCTGAATACAGTGGAAGGATAATCCATGTTAAGTATCAACCACGACGTGTGATTTAGAAGTGAGCCGGGAGGCCAGTTACTTCTCGTCTAACCGGAGTAGGCACTAAATCATCCAAATGGATCAGGCACTTGGTAATCGATCAAAGGTGCGGCCACCACTTCTTCGGGTAGCAGGTTCCAAGTATTGATGACTCGGCCTAAAAACCTGTATGCCACGAGTATTTTGTTCGTTTTTGACTTTCCTTCTTGTCTGTTATGACTTGTGAAATGTCCCGATCTAGTGGGAAGAAAAAGAGAGAATACGTTAGGTCCAGAATAATTTCTTAGTATTCTTTACACCAAAATAAGATCTTTTCTTAGTCTGCGGTAGATCAGAGTAAAGAGGTCCAGCTTTTCAAGCCACTCCTTGTATGGTCAAGCCCGGAGTGCCACTGTCTCAACTCTGTTCCACTGATTTCAAATGGTTCAAATGGTTGTATACGAAATAGAAGAAGCTTTCGCTTAACGGGCTTCCGTGTCTAGTAGCAGGGGATCACCAATACCTCCAGGCAAGAACCTAGGTATATTAACGATAAAAGAGAAAAGAATAAATTGGTAAATCATAGTAAGATACTATCCTTAGTCCTTAAGAATAGATCAAGTCGCCTCTTAAAGGACTCCTGGGAAGTTGCTTAAACTAGCTCAGCAGGCAGCAAATTCCAGCATTTGACAACTCTTAAGGAATAGAAGTTGTGTCTGCAGTCCGTTCTACTATGTTGTATCTCTAATTTCTGGGTGTTACCCCTTAGGTTAGTGTTGGGACTAAGCTTAAGTAGGTGTTTAAGAGGATGTCCAGGTGTGTTGAGGATACTGTAAGCCATTAGAAGGTCACCTCTAAGACGCCTGTACTCCAATGGGTAAAGGTTGAGTGATTGGAGGCGCTCATCGTAAGGTTTAAATTTGAGTCCTCGAACTGATTTCGTGGCTCGCCGTTGGATACGCTCCAGAGTGTCCTTATCCTTTTGGAGTGTAGGAGGGAATACTATGTTTCCGTACTCTAAATAGGGACGAATGAAACTATTGAAGATTATGTGGAAAGTTCTCCCGTCAAACTGACCAAAAATGCGCTTCAATGTTACCAGTGCAAGGTTTGCTCGAAAGGCATTTCTGTCACAGTTGGTGTTGTTTTACCTTTAAATCTCTGAGAGAAAATAACAAGAAGCATGGTTTAAAATTACTACCACGCTCTGCCACAGCCCAAAAACAGACGAATAGTTGATTAATTTTCTGAATCAACCTTTGAGGGCTTGACTGCCCTTGACGTTTACGGGAAGTTTAGTCCTAACGTGGTTTGTATTTCTCAAACTTTTGCTGTGTTCTTACGCAACAAAAGTACCATTTCTGATCTAAACAATCTATTCTGAGCTATAAGTTCGGTAGATTACTTTTTTTTCTGAGTTTCGCTCAATTTAATAGTTAACTGTGGTTTTGCCTCAACTTACTATTCGTTCTTTTTCTTTCAGTTTTTCACGTAAAGGCTAGTTCATTTTATCTCATCCGTTTTTATACATTTTTTCCCGTTTTTAGTGTGGTTTTTTGTGTATTTTAACGGTCTTAAGCTTTTATACTATCTCTAACACAGTTTACGTCAATACAGCCATGAAAAATTCATGCAAACGACCTGGATGCCGTTTCGCTGTTACATCTGGCATGCAGTGCGACAACTGCAAAGGTTGGTACCACGAGACGTGCACAGATCTTACAGCAACTGCTTACAAGAGACTCAGCAACTCGGACCGTAGGTGGGTGTGCGTTACGTGCAACACGGACGCCGTAGTACTGCTGAGCAGCATCATTGTTCTACTGACAGGTCTGCGGAACAAACTGTCAGTAAACTTGGAAACAGATAGCCATAAAGTAGGAAGACAAACAAGGGCGCGCAACGAAAATAAGAATAGGGATGTTGATAAGTCAACCATCGATGGAACACACATTAGCGCTCATTGGAACTTCCTATTACACACGCTCTTATGTGCTACAAAGCATTCAGTCCCTCAAACGGTCCCCAAAAGCCACATGCAACCTACAATCATCAAAAACCGCACTCTTCGTTTGCTTAGCCGTAAAAGGCACTGTTGGGCAGAATACAAACGAACCAACAACAATGGCGAGTACAGGCAATACAAACATATAAGGAATATATGTACGAAGGCTATAAGAGAAGACAGGCTCCAGTACCAGTTAAAGCTTATGGATAAATTTGTCTCCAATCCGAAAAGCTTATTCCGTTACGCAGCCTCTCTTCGTCAAGCCGAAACTGGAGTTTCTCAACTGCTAGACCCTAACGGCCCGACCAATAATGACGGTGACGCCGCTAACCTCCTGGCTGAGCAATACTCCCGGACATTTCAACCGTCCCACATCAACTATACGGATGACGGCTCTGTCTGCAACTGCACAGGACTTTCCGTAGTGAAACTGAGTGTCGACTTGGTGTTTCGTAAACTACAACACCTAAGAACAGACACTTCTCCTGGTCCAGACATGGTCCACTCTGCTATACTGAGGGAAGCAGCTTCAATCCTGGCAACACCGCTTAGCGTGATGTTCTCACACTCGCTAAGTCAAGGAAAACTACCCGATATTTGGAAGCTGGCTCATATCACCCCAATCTTCAAATGAGGTTGACGCAGCGAACCTTCAAGTTACCGACCGGTGGCTCTTCTCTCTATACCTTCAAAGATCATGGAGTCCCTGGTATACGATGGTATACACGACTATCTGCTGTCCTTAAATTTCTTCTCACCCCAACAGCATGGTTTCAGAAAGGGTTGCTCCTGTATGAAGAACTTGCTGACTGCGGTGGACAGATGGACAAGCATCGTTGATCGCAAGGAGAAGGTGGACATCATTTACCTTGATTTCTCTAAAGCTTTTGATAGGGTTAACCACATCTGTCTTATTAACAAGCTCAAACAATTGAGTATCAAACCTCCTTTAATTGACTGGCTCAGTTCATATCTGACAAATCGACATTTTAAGGTCAGGGTAAACTTTAATTTCTCAAAGGCTATGGAATGTACAAGTGGGGTCCCTCAGGACTCAGTACTAGGACCTCTCCTCTTCCTGATTTATATAAATGATCTTCCTCAACAGGTAACGTCAGACATATTGCTCTTTGCCGATGACGTAAAACTTTGGAGAGAGATACGAAACCAAGAGGACATACAGGCACTTCAGGAGGATCTGACTCGACTTCAAAGTTGGGCAGACGATAACGAACTTACCTTTAACACCTCAAAGTGTAAAGTAGTCCATCTGCGACACGTCGCAGATTACAGTTACAACTTAGGAAACTCCTCTCTAGTAGTATCCCGAGTCAAAAAAGATTTAGGAGTTCTGGTGCCCTACGACTTAAAGTCTTACGCCAACTGTGACAGAAATGCCTTTCGAGCAAACCTTGCACTGGTAACATTGAAGCGCATTTTTGGTCAGTTTGACGGGAGAACTTTCCACATAATCTTCAATAGTTTCATTCGTCCCTATTTAGAGTACGGAAACATAGTATTCCCTCCTACACTCCAAAAGGATAAGGACACTCTGGAGCGTATCCAACGGCGAGCCACGAAATCAGTTCGAGGACTCAAATTTAAACCTTACGATGAGCGCCTCCAATCACTCAACCTTTACCCATTGGAGTACAGGCGTCTTAGAGGTGACCTTCTAATGGCTTACAGTATCCTCAACACACCTGGACATCCTCTTAAACACCTACTTAAGCTTAGTCCCAACACTAACCTAAGGGGTAACACCCAGAAATTAGAGATACAACATAGTAGAACGGACTGCAGACACAACTTCTATTCCTTAAGAGTTGTCAAATGCTGGAATTTGCTGCCTGCTGAGCTAGTTTAAGCAACTTCCCAGGAGTCCTTTAAGAGGCGACTTGATCTATTCTTAAGGACTAAGGATAGTATCTTACTATGATTTACCAATTTATTCTTTTCTCTTTTATCGTTAATATACCTAGGTTCTTGCCTGGAGGTATTGGTGATCCCCTGCTACTAGACACGGAAGCCCGTTAAGCGAAAGCTTCTTCTATTTCGTATACAACCATTTGAACCATTTGAACCATTTGAGGTTTGAAGTATGATAGGCGCATATAGTAAAGCGTGCGTTTCATCTTGCTCGTGATGTGTTAGCTAAGGGTTAAACCTATAGTATATTGTGATCTAATCCGGGTAAGTGCAGTGGTTTTTTTTTGCCAAAATTATACATAATCTTAAACTTAACGTTTTCACTCTAAGTGTGTTTTAGTTATGATAGCGCACATAACCCAAGCAACAATAGGGATGTGACATTCACTACAGATACTCAATGTGAATTTTAAGCTAAAATCCACCAAAATGTCACTTGTTTTGTTGGGAAATGGTTAGGCCCATTAGTGTACTGCCTTTTTGATGATACTTCCAAGCATCAGCTTTGCTTTTGGAGATTTTGAGTAAATTTTGGTAAAGATTCTAAGTACATGTGAATTTCGGGTATTTTTGGCAAGGTTTTCTCAAAATTAACCAAAACGTACCTGAAATGGATGGTGGTGAGCCGCTAACATCTTGAAATTCGTGTACGTATTTTCTATGTTTATTGACTTTATCAACCATACCTAACTACTCTCCACTTTTTCATCTTATTTTCAGATTTGAAAATACTGTTTGTTGTTATATCAACCAATCAACTCTTAATCAGTTGAAGAACTTACTGAAAAATCTTATAGATCAAACTGATATCAGTCATATAAAATACAAACAGATCATCCTTTATATCTGTCGAGTACTGAAGTCTTCTGTCCTTTTTTTCAAAGTCATATAGTTTATCACTTTTTAACAATCATTTTAATAAACTAAACATCCATTCGAATCCAGTATATTTCTAGTGTAGTTGTCCAGTGACACTTTTGTAATTTGATTGAAGCAAATGATTTATCAATTTTAACAGTTGGTCGTCACTTAATTTTAAATTAGTCATTGCCTAATTTTTTCTGCAATAAATTCTGAATGTATACTCTGTTTGTATTATTTTATTTGTATTTACTTGAAGGTATACCATATGGTGTCCAGTCTCGATTTCTACCTCTTATTTTTCGCAACAAAGGTCTCTCACTTACTTCATTAGGTCTACATAAACTTCTTCATATTCCTTGGCTACTTAAAAGCTTTTATGCTCCGGTAATTGACAGACATATTAACAAAAGAGTATGGTTATTTATCAGTTTCAGTGGTTTGTTTTTTTGTACAGTCTTATTATTTCACGAAAGTGAACAATTGGTCAGTGGAAACAATTACTTCATGTTCACTATTTCTTCTTGTCTTTTTATGTATAATTTTTGGGCAGCTTCACAAGACATTACTGTTGATTCACTGACCTTGTCCACCTTAACATCAAATCAAATCTCTTTAGGGAATACTATACAAGTTGTTGGCTACAAATGTGGAGCTATTATTGGCGGTGGATTTCTTGCTTGGTTATCAGCTTTTGTAGAAATCAGTTATCTTTTCATATCACTTAGTTGCTTATATGCTAGTGGGATGTGCTTTTGTTTAATTGGAAAGTTTTGGAAATTTTGTAATGTAAAACAGTTTCACGGAAAAACGTATATTCAAGTAAATGGTAAGGTTAATTTGGTAAACTGCACCGTGATTTGTGATTTTACAACGTTTTTGTATACTATTTTGTTTTTCATAAGAATTTTCGCCTAGATATAAACGAATAGTTTCACGGTAGATGAGTTCCGAGTTAATATCAAATCTTAAAGAGGAAATTATTTTTGTAAAACTCTCGGCGGTCCAACTCTAAGTAAATCCAACGTTTCGCACGGGTATCTGGTTCTTATTTTTATGTTATGAGGAACTTAAGAAAGTGATGTACTTTTCAGCCTTAATTCTTCCAATGCAGTTCGTTTTTCAGATAGACTAATGCTTCCATCTTTAAAGGACATTATCAGTGCAAAGGGTAGTGATTATTACCCAGCTTGCCCCCAAATGCCCTGGTACGGCCGAGAGTGGGGAGAGTCCGCTCACCCTCTCGAAATGCTCTCACATGGCCACGCGTATATAGCCTCTGCCAGGGAAGTCTTACTCACTGCCTTCTCCTGGCGGGAGTGTTGTCTACGAAAATGAGAGGACGAAAAGCGAATGTCCGGCGCTTTAACCGGATCCCAAATCAATGGTGCACATGGGCTCCAGTATCCTGAAGGAACAAATGGCGTATGAACCAATCGTTGGTCACCGGCTACCATGGGACTGCATCTCCTTACGATGCTCCACTGCCTTGTGGGTCAGACATTCAGGTCGAAGGCTCGAGGTGTGGCCCCCTAAGAAAACCACCTGCTTCGGTTTGGGCACCCGGGCAGTATCACAGCCCTTACACTTATCAAATGAGATCTGTGTGGCGCATATGTATTTGATGCCTCCTTGTACCAATATCTATGTGTTGAAATAAAAATAAAAATTACTCAGCTGCCTGACTTGAGGCAAGCGGTACGAGGTCAGAATCTGGGACCTCCTAGTTAAATGCTAGGTGTTTTAACCACTAACTAGTTTTATGCTACTCAACTAAGTTATATTTACGCCAAATACATAAATTTTTTCCAATGCTCTTGATATCTGGAAAGACAATCAATAGTTCAATGGATAGTTCATGTGTCAAGTCAAGTTCGTCGGGGAGCGGTGTCTACTACTAAACAATTCTGTCTCTATTTTAGATCGAGTGATTTATTTCATAATATTCTCAACAGGCATCAATTGAGGCTTTTGAACTTCACTTCATCGTCTACTCAAAAGTGTTTTGTCGATGAGTTAAATTAGCTAATGTTAAATAAACCAAAATCAGTTGTTGGTCTGAATGGTGCAAGTAGGTTTGCATTTCCTGCAAAAACGTTCATGAAGCAATGGTCACTGGTTAGAACGATCTTAGATGACTTGGCTTGAAATTAGTTTTAATTTGTCCAGATACATTCATACTTTCAGATAACATTTTACATTTTATTACTTTTTATCTTTCCTAATCCTTACCTCTGTATGTTGTAATATTTATCCAATTCTTTTAATTTCCTCTTTTCATACTTTTGAAAAAGTATTTCAAATTTAATGTATAATGCAAAAATCCATGTTGTTGTGTTCGTCTGTCAACGCCCATGTAATTGAATTGAGAAAGGTGGGACATGCTTTTTGCTTTTCATATGTAACATTCTGAATTAATTTCTTTTGTTTGTTATGGGACGCAGTTTGAAAGTGAGCAGTAAATGTTTGCTTCTTCGAGCACTCTAACCATTGATGGCGGTCCGATGAGCTTTACGTCACTTCTGTAAGCTATGCATTAATTTCATAACACTTAAACATCCAGAAAATAAAATGTAATGGTGCTAAATCCTTCAAATTCATACATTAGACTTATTGTTTCACTTTAGGGTGGTTGACGTTAGGCTGCGTACTTTCATGTGTGGGACTTCAGTATTGGCTTGTGAATAGATTGAATCATTTTTCAAATTAACCCCAGTGTTAAGATAACTGGAATAGCCATGCAAACAAATAGTCTAAGTAGTTTTGTGACAACCATAACTTCAGCGTTTGGTATTTTCACGAGAATATTAACTCTAATATCAAAATACGATATCACAGTCTATGCAGCCAATAATTGTTTAAATGAGCCCCATTAGAAGGCAAAGACTTTTCGGTTGTTCCGCAAGGCATTCTTAATCTATGCTAAAAGACCCTAGATGATATCTCTTAAAACCAATCGAAGTCCCGTAGATCTTCAAATCTTGAGTTTTGATATTTATCTGGTTTCGTCCCTTGATTTTATTCGTTTCTTCTAATATATGTTTTCAAATGTTTAATTTATCATTATAAACAACACTGCATAAGGTGTTAGGTGAATTGATTGGTGAGGCTGTAGAACTTCATCAACTGGGGTTCTTAGGACATGTAGTACGTACACCTAATCACCACATACTTCAATGTTTAATCTTAGCTGGTGTATGAATTAGCTAGGAGAAAGCTAGTATCTTCTAAACCGAAATGTAACGTTAGTCTATGAGGTCATTGACTAGTGGCCTAAGCCATGTTTGTAAATGAAGGCTGCTTGGTGTGGGTCTGCGCGATCATAGTTGAAAACGTTGGATAGTATTTCTCAGAATCGCAAAAAGTGGTTAGAGACTAGGTAACATAGCTCAAAATTGTTTCCAATGGGATAGGTGCATTCATTCTGTCTTCCCCTAGATCCTAAGTTTCCATGTATCTTATAATTTTTTACGCGAATCCATATCTTACACGCTTAACCTTTTCTATGACCGCTACTATTTTAGCCACTCTGGGATTTACTTTGACAATCTCATCTCACTGTGCTAATGTGATCCGAAAAAATGAACCAATTCACATTTGTGCCAGGTTTTTAGTTACATATAAATGACTGATAATTTAAATCGGTCACAGTGACCCAAATGTATGAAATCCTTGCTTTGTTCGTGATCATAAAATCCAGTACTCTCATCAGCATATTTTTTCACTGTTTTTGTGGACCACATTCTCAGTCCTCATTGTCATTACTTACTTAGTTACGCCTGTTACTCCCAATGGAGCATAGGCCGCTGACCAGCATTCTAACACCCACTCTGTTCTGAGCCTTATTTTCCAGTTCTATCCAATTTTTGTTCACTTTCCTCATGTCTGTCTCCATTTCTCGGTGTAATGTGTTCTTTGGTCTTCCACTTTTCATTTGACCTTGAGGATTCCAAGTGAGAGCTTGCCTTGTGACACAGATGGATGATTTCCTCAATATGTGTCCTATCCACTTCCAGACCTTCTTCCTCATTTCCTTCACCGGAATCTGGTTTGTTCTCTCACACAGTAGGTTGTTGCTTATAGTGTAGACAGCTGTTAATAAACACTTGTATCTTCTGGATGATGACTTTCGTAGTTCTCCAGGTCTCCACCCCATACAGTAGAACTGTTTTAACATTTGTATTGAAAATTCTGACCTTGGTGCTGGTTGACAGTTGTTTTGAGTTCCAAATTTTCTTCAACCTCATTGTAATTGGTACTACATTATTTGATTCTTTTAACTCATCACGTTAAGTCGTATGGGAACTTGGTCCAATGTACATCTTTGTCAGGTTATACATTATGACTGAATGACTGATCTCAAATTGTTTTCGTTTTATCTCGTTTATTGTGCTCAATTAAAGTATGATAAATTGAGCTGACGGATAATTATGCAAGATCTAATACTGTTTATGATTAACTGGTGTTAGCTTAACGGGTTAAATTCAGAAAGAAGCAGAAAAAAGCACTGGTTTCATAACATACTGAGGATGCCATTATAACATATTTGGGTTAATCACGCTTTACAGATCCTATACATTTTATAGTTTAATTGATTTAAGTCATAGTTTTGCATTGTAATATTATATATCTTTGACTTCTTTTATTTTACGTGATTAATTGACTTTAATTTTAATCAGAGAATGAGAATTCAGACGATGAACAAGATTTAACTTGTGTGTCAAAACAATATTCTTACACAAAAGCCTTCGAAATTGCCCTGGGTGATTCAGGTGGTTCGCGTTGTCTTATTGTTCTTCTATTGATTTATAAACTTGGAGAGCAAGGATCTATGAATATGCTACCTTTGATGCTTTTAGATAGAGGATTTTCTCTATCTAAAGTTGGATTTTGGACAGGTGTTGTTGGACAATTGGCATCTATAATTGGGTCTACATCTGGATATTATATCCAGAAAAAGCTCAGGTTTGTTTAAGCTATCGAACAAATACTTTAGAATGTTTAAAAAATGTTACGAAAGGACGAAGTTGACCTAAAATACATGGTATTCTCGACTCAGTCCATTTCAAACAATCTGAAAACACATTTACTTGCCAAAGGATTGCATGTGAAAACTAGTGTAGGTCTTTTAAGTAAACGGTCAAATGTTTTTAACAGAAGTGTATAACACAAGATGGTTTAGTATAGTAGTAATTGGTTTCCACGTTGTCTTTGGCACTAATATTGATTATGAATTATCAGGTCAGGTTATAAACAAGAGTGAATTACTTCTGGATACCTAACGAAGGTTAATATTTTCTTTAGATTAGGAGTCATAAACTTGAAAATGCACCGAATGAAGTTCCTATATAGGGGCTTTAAAGCTATTAAAATGTTATTTGTATCACCTATTTGAGTTTCTTGTTTTGCCTTCGTTCATCTGGTATTAAGGGGCTAACGAAATACGAAACGATTTCCGTCATATCTACCGTTTCCTACACTTTTAAACCATTGAAATTAATAGAATGTTGTTATAGGATGTTATAGAGATCTTCGAATATAAAGCTTCACATCACAGACTGACTTTAGGTAGTCCAATGAAAGCGAGGAAGCACTGGTCAGCCGTTTCATTCTAATATGGAAATTCTCAACAGCGCACATCTACAACCTCAGATCTCACGATGAGCACCTAACATTGTGATCACAATTTACATTTCTGACTCTAATCAATTCATGATATTGTGTGACCAGCATCCATTGGGATCGGGGTCATTTGTATCACATCCAACTGGTCACGGCTTCTTATTGGGACTCTAGGATTTATATCTCGAAGTTAGTCACTGGTAAACACGTGGAAATATCGTTAAATTTTGCCTGTTCATTTAGGTGATATTAAAGTCCATAAAACACATGCAGCACATAGTTCAGATTTCGAAATCGTTTTCTCCTTAATATTAAATATTTCAGGCACTTTCTCTCAGGTTTATACATTAGACACTCAAAATATATGTCAATTTACATTCCTCCCTCATTAAATATCACGGTTCATTGCACATGACGTAATCCTTTATGTGCATACTTTGTCGTTGAACATAAGACAGTTGTTCAATTGTCGTTCAACAAACGTGTGCTAGTTTAAGAATGATAAAGAAAAATTGTAGTTTTCATCCGATTAGATTTTCGTCATGGCTCTACACTGATATAATATATGTGTATGATTTGCAACAGTGAAATAATACTCAATGATTATATGATGACACATTGATTATAAAATAATATTGAGTAATTGGGAGAAAGAGGATTATAATAATCAAAGTAATTATTCGAAAAATCAAACAGTTGCTACATTGCATAATATATAAAAAGAAGGGACTAACAGAATATTGTAATGGAAGGTCGGTATTGTAGTAGTTATGTAAGAACCAAGGGATGAATGTTGAGAATATGTGAAATTTATTATTTATTTATTTATTTTAACACAGGTATTGGTACAAAGAGGGACCAAATACATATGCGCCACACAAATCTCAATCGATATGTGTGAGGGCTGTGATACTGCCCGGGTGCCCAAACCGAAGCAGGTGGTTTTCTTAGGGGGCCACACCCCGAGCCTTCGACCTTAAGATCTGATCCACAAGGCAGTGGAGCATCGTAAGGAGATGCAGTCCCATGGTAGCCGGTGACCAACGATTGGTTCATACGCCATTTGTTCCTTCAGGATACTGGAGCCCATGTGCACCATTGATTTGGGATCCGGTTAAAGCGCCGGACATTCGCTTTTCGTCCTCTCATTTTCGTAGACAACACTCCCGCCACGAGAAGGCAGTGAGTAAGACTTCCCTGGCAGAGGCTATATACGCGTGGCCATGTGAGAGCATTTCGAGAGGGTGAGCGGACTCTCCCCACTCTCGGCCGTACCAGGGCATTTGGGGGCATGTAAAATGCAAGTGGAAGTAATTAGAAAATAGTTTAGATATTTTTGGAAGAAAAGGTTTCATCAAAGTCTAGCTATAAGCTCACCCCACTACTGATGGCCAAATTATGGAGAGTGGTTGTAAAAAACCTTTGAATGCTAAGGCTTGATTTGTGAACACTGATCCCAAGGGATTCAGCGTTGTGCAAAAGTTGAACTCGTAAACCAAGTGGTGAATTTGATGGAATATAGTGGATAACCTTAAAAGCTTTATTCATGTCAACTTGGTGACCTGTGTCCACCAAGTGATTAAGAATATAACTGAATCACTCATACTCGTCCTTTGCTCAACCAAAACTGATGTTCTACTATAAGATGACGGACTTACCAAACTGTACACATTATATATCGGCTCTAAAGGAGCAGTTGAATTGGTAAATATACATGGATGTGGTGGATTCAAGTAGTCTATCTCTATTAACGGTTCTTATTATAGGGCGCTTATAAAGCCATGATGAAAATCTAGTGAAAAAGCAATTTTTCCGCGATTCGTTCTTTCTTTATCAAATGTTCAAATGAGAATTCCGTCTGAATTTGTAATTCACTTAGTGGGTATATTTAATGTTTTTTATTTCGTTCTCTGAGTTGAATGATGTAATTGTATTAGGCTTGTATGATCTTTTTGGATAAAATTATAATCAGCTTACAATTTCTTTTTGACACTTTTAGATCTCCACTAACTTCAGTTCTAAGCCTTATGATAATTCGGGCTTGTCTACAATTCCCTCTAACAATGATTGCTTTCAAATCTATTTGGATAAGTGCACCTAACGTTTCTTTCTGTAAGTCATTCGATTTATTAATAAAAATCCACTGCTATTTATACCAGTATGTGTAATTTTGTAGTGCTCCATTGTATTTAATTATAGTTTTGAACAATGTAAATTAAAAAGGCAAGTTATGTAGTGTGTTGTTTATAATATTACGGAATGCTCATTACATTCCAAACCAAAACGTGGCATCAGTGCTTGAAGTCACCAACTTCTGCTCCGAGCCATGTTGGTAGATGCAGACTACCTGGTTGGGGTCCGTGTGACTATCGTAATCAATGGTTGGAGACTCTTGGTGACATGGCTCGGAATCGATCACAATGGCGTCGGTGTATACACTCTCTGTCTTCCTTTAAACTAAGAGATTAAGATCGCTTCATATCATTCTTTCTAGGAACTAATTCTTTCTTCCTGTACTATCTCCTTATATGCAATCTTTCTTCTATATATTACCACCATTGAATTAACTACTTCTATGAATCCGGTGTTCATCTTGTTGTGCTAATGCGGTGTGGCAACTTGGACCGATGCCTATACGTGCCTGGTCCTACGTTGCAGCTGACTGACTGACTGACTGAATGCTCACTACATTATTGAAGCTTATAAAAGGGATTAGATTTTAAGCAAATGATAATTGTCAAACGGACTAAAACATTATGATAGATTTAAGACTAAAGACATAACTCTACTATGAGAGAGATTTTGGTGTGATTTCACAGTTAGGTTAATAAAAATCTTTATAAATTAGATTAGAAATGCAATAGAGACAATGATATAATGAATAAGTTTAAGTAATGCATTCGTATTCACTTATTGTCATATAAAATACAGAGATTGTTATGATTTGTAAACCATTAAACATCATGTGGTTTATTCGCAAATCAGAATGCAACTTTATATAAGTTGTGCCACAACAATGACATATTGACCAGTATGAGAAGCCTAGTGTCATTATTGATCCTTTTTTCCTCCTAGCACTGACTGTTGAGTTCAGAATGTCAATATTAACTTTCACTATACGAACCATTTTTTTAGACCTACGCAAACCGGACTACGTCATACCATGAAATAAAAAAGTAACCATTGTAGAAGATCAAGGCGAATTAAGGCTGTGATTGTGGGAGACTGTAATTAATAAATCGGGTATAACTTAAGAATAGTAAATCGTATAATAATAGTCTATAGGTCAAAATAAAGCTTATCATAAGATGAGTATGAATATAAATAATCTAGTTAGTAAATAGTTATGCAATAAGAATACATGTATAATATTATTTATTTATTTATTTTAACACATAGATATCGGTACAAGGAGGCATCAAATACATATGCGCCACACAGATCTCATTTGATAAGTGTGAGGGCTGTGATACTGCCCGGGTGCCCAAACCAAAGCAGGTGGTTTTCTTAGGGGGCCACACACAGAGCCTTCGACCTGAATGTCTGACCCACAAGGCAGTGGAGCATCGTAAGGAGATGCAGTCCCATGGTAGCCGGTGACCAACGATTGGTTCATACGCCATTTGTTCCTTCAGGATACTGGAGCCCATGTGCACCATTGATTTGGGATCCGGTTAAAGCGCCGGACATTCGCTTTTCGTCCTCTCATTTTCGTAGACAACACTCCCGCCACGAGAAGGCAGTGAGTAGGACTTCCCTGGCAGAGGCTATATACGCGTGGCCATGTGAGAGCATTTCGAGAGGGTGAGCGGACTCTCCCCATTCTCGGCCGTACCAGAGCATTTGAGGGCAGTATAATATTATGGACTAATATGTATAATATTAGTCCATTAATGGCTTTCAGAAGTTACCCATATTGTAATCTTCTCTAGGATACAACATAGATATGTAGGCTTGTCTTGTAAATTCAGCAGTGGTTCTATTATTTTGGTGTATTTGTCATGTGGCTAGCAATGGAATCCAGGTTTCATGTTTTGTCCTGGTTGAGACCCATCACCTAGATATACCTTCATCCCTGTGCTGATGTTTACATTGCAACTCGAATCTAGTATCTTTTATTCAATCAATTATTCCTTAATATACTTACTCCACTTATCCACTATAACAGGTATTGATGCATTATTGTTGATTCTTAATTTCTCATTGTTGATATTCAGAATTGAACTATCTGAACTCATTAAGTAACACAGTGGATAATACTTTAGGATTTGAAGGGAAAGGTCATGGATCAAAATCTTATTTTGTGAACATCAACACTGAGATGTAGGCAAATCTGGGTAATGATTCCAAAATGATTTTTACTTCTACTCATATACAAAACATTCTATAGCTTGATGCATAATTTTAGGTCAAGGCAATCCGGTCAAGATTCACATATATGAGAACAGAGGCTGATCAGTTGAAGTTCTAAATATCAATGAAAAGAATAACATCATTGTTCTTGCTCTCCTGAAGTTGGTAAAGAGAACTATATGTCTAAATAATTAGTATCTTCGTCCTGTTTAAATTTTACTAGAAAGTGTCATTTTCCAGATTGAAATCAATCTCCAAGTATTATTCTATTCGACAGCCTGTTGTAAGTAAGGGATGTAAAACTCGTCCTACACTGACAATGAAAAAAATCATCTCTGTAAATACTGTTTATCTTAACCATGATATCTTGGATAAATGCATAAAGCTGTTGAGGTTGCCTAGTTCTTTAATGTTGTTATGATTCAGTGACTTATAATTTGTATTACTGTTAACAAGAAAATAGTCTCATTGATAAGTATGAGCTAAATGAGACTTATTGAACCAGAATGGGAATCTAAAATCTAGCGCACTCTCCTTACCATCTGTTGTGGTGGTGCTTGGTAAGAATTTTACAATTAATTTCGTTTTTAAAAAAATAAAACCCCTTAGATTTATGAAATTTTTAAGTTTAATGACGAGACAGAATTCACTAGTTATCTTCTTTTGTCTCGTTACTGGATATCCATTACTAATCGTGTCTTTCAGTATGGGGTTGTGAAGATTGTTGAATTCTATTCAAATCATTAGCCGATCTAATTTAAACCACTTTTGAAAATCTAGAAGCACTGGATGGCCTTTTTGTCCGAGTATGGAACTCCTCAGAAGTACACATCCACAATCCCACATGCAGGAATCAAACGAAGGATTTTTTTGGTTTCGCACACGAATGCTTAACTTCTAGACCACTGATCCAGCATGTAACGGTGCTTGTTTTCTGACGTCCTGATTGGTTAATACTTTTAAATCTAATCATGAAGATAGTTGATTAGTTTAAGTTACAGTTGGTTCTCATGATTCAAAATAGAAATCAGCATTTCAAGAAGGCGATAACCTTTCATCAGTTTAACGAACACATATTTTATGTAATTTTTATAATAATATTTACTTTCTTATTTTTTAATTCATTTAGGGATAGGTTGTTTATTAATGAATATTTTACTAGTTGTGAGTGGAGGGATTACAACAATTATGTTCACATTGATGATGCATTGTACATGTTCTGAATCATCTAAAGCCTATCAAGCAACTCATTATTCTATATTAAGTACAGCAGAATTATTGGGAAAACTTTTATTTGGTACAATAGCCGCATATTTTACAGATGTATTCGGATATGGAGTTGCTTATTTATGCTTTTTAATTTTATCTATACTTCCAATTTTATATGTTTACAAATGTTCTGGGAAATTTCGATTTTCTCCCTAAATGGTTATTTAACTCGGTAAGTATTTTTTTGTTGCAATTCAGTCAAATATTGGATAAGAATGTTTTACCTTGATATTCAGCTATAATTATCGGTCAGTTCAAGACTTGTAACCATTTGTTCATATGTTGTAGTGTAACATGTTCTCATAAGCAATCCTATTCCTTCACTAGGGAAAACAGATTGACAGTATTTTGAACTGGCAATTACTTTAGGTGTATTAATTCAGTGATGAAATTAAGCCAAAAAATAAATGAAAATTAGGCTTCAATTATTGCCAAATTTTTTATAAAAGAAACAATAACAGAAAAATAGAATTGCAAATAATACCCTTTTTTCTAGCAGCATCAAAGTGTGTTGTGACTCATTTTCAAGATAAGATTTTAGAAAAAGAATTGTATACAATGATTCAGATTTATGTACACTTTCTAATCCGCGTAAGTTTATCTCCGTTTTTCCATCAATTATATACGTTACTTGTCTATGAACATGGTAATTAGTGTCAGACATCGTCCTTCACATGTCATTTGATAATCCTGTTTTATATTTGATTCCTAAATAAATTGTACAGTTAGCTCATGTTCATCCTTCAAAATTCAAATTGTATGACGTTTAGCTACATATTTTAATGAAATCCACCTTCAACCCAAATGTCAGCACTAAGAAAGCTTGTAAATCAATTTATTTGTGTTATGGCTATTGTAAAAACTAAGTTACGTTTCAAACACTTCCACATCAATTTATTTTAATGGAGTGTTGTTCTCTGAGCTGGATGGTTTGGTCGTGGAGCTTTCATTATTATTGATTGAACATATATATATTGGTACAAGAAAGCACCAAATACATATGCGCCACACAAATCTCATTTGATTTGTGTGAGGGCTGTGATACTGCCCGGGTGCCCAAACCGAAGTAGGTAGTTTTCTTAGGGGGCCACACACCGAGCCTTCGATCTAAAGGTCTGATCCACGAGGCATTGTAGCATCGTAAGAAGATGCAGTCCCATGGTGACCGGTGACCATTTGTTCCTCAGGATCCTGGAGCCCATGTGCACCATTGGTTTGGAATCAGGGTTTTCCAACTACCCTAGGTGAACTTTCCATGTCCATCAACCCGGTTAAAGCGTCGGACATTCGCTCCTCGTCCTCTCAATTTCGTAAACAATACCCCCACCACGAGAAGGCAGTGAGCAGGACTTCCCTGGCAGAGGCTATATACACATGGCCATCATTAGCACAAACCTACATCAATTTATTTTCTCGAAAATATCATTTGTTGTCTAACATAATGAAAAATAGATATCACTGACTGATTGATAGTTTTTAATTGTTACATCTATGATTTGGGTTTTTTTAGTATTCTGGTAGAAATGAGGTTGAAATAACTTATGTATATATTTCTGACACAATTCATTTTTCCTTGGTCTTTAAGTGTTGTCCATTTGCGAAGATTTTCATCATTCTATTGAATTAAAACTTTTAAAAGATAATTTCATTGACCCATTTTCCATGTAATAAGATATGAAACACACTAATTGTGAGGGCTAATGATATTATCTAGTTTCTGAAATCGAACTAGGAAGAGCAGAGTTAGAACCTGAGACAGTAATCTCGGAACTGTTCAGTTGTTATATATTTTAATGGTTGAGATCATGGGTCAATTGAGCTAGGTCACCATGGAAAACCTGGAACCACTGGATGACCGTTTTGTCCTAGTATGGGACTCCTCAGCAGTGCACATCCACGATCCCGCGCCCCGGGAGACTCGAACCCAGGACCTATCGGTCTGGTGAGCGAACGTTTAACTTTTAAACCACTGAGCCGGACTCCATCCAACAGTGTTAATGTTTAACTTCAACCAATCTACGAAATTGAGCGACACATTCACGATTGTCATCAATGGGTTACTATTTCACGACGGACCTGGTTGAACTCCATTGGCCACTGCTTCTCACTAGAACTCCAGGAAATACCTATTGAAGCCAGTCACTAGTGAGTATATGTTGAATAATATCAGAAGGGATGTTTTGTGGAAATTATAGTAATTGTAATTGTTGGGTTCGAAGCTTGCGAGGCGGGATCGTGAATGCGCACTACTGAGGGGTCCCATAATAGGACGAAACGGTCATCCAGTGCTTCCAGGTTTTCTATAGTGGTTCAGCTTCAATTGACGCTCAACTATTAAAATTACTATATAATATCCACAAAAAACCCTTTCTGATGTTATATGCTTAAAAATATTTCGTTTCTTCAGCTGAAATACGCCAAAATACCAATAATGATTTAGAGTTAAATTAATTTATATAAGTTTATATTATATTATTTATGACTGTATTTTCAATCGCCTTCATAAAATTCTTCTTTCCAACTAAAATTTTTTTTACATCTGATCTCTATTATTATATTTACTCTATAGGTATGCATTTCATAATTTGATAAATATCCTGACTGGCTGCTTGAATCGGTTTCCTAAGCTCTCTTAATAACCCTAGGTTAAGTCTGCACAACAATGTGAACACGAGAAAAAAGAGGTGCGAAACATGAAAAGAATGCTTTACTTCTAGGTTCGTTTCTGTACAGAAAATTTAAGGTATTTATAGCATTTCAGACGGTCTTGGGTTTCGGGAATTTTTTGGAACCCTACTAAAATAGTAACAGGATAGGTAATCAATCAGTCTGAAGTGTGACTTTTTACTTTGTAGTTGTCTCTGAGAAACTTCTTTTGAATGCTGATTAGATAGAATGTTTCCCAGCGTTTTCAGGGCCTTTTTGGGTTTTTTCGAAGAATTTTATGGGTATCCCCAACATAATTATTTATGTGTTTATATTGTGTTCAAATAGTCCTATCTCTGTGTTTTTATAATCAATTATATCCACTCTCATATCCTATTTTATTTCAGGGAAACCTTGATAACTCAAGTAGATTTCATTGATGATGTTATGTTTTGTTGTTATTGAGTTGTGTATGGTTTGATCAAGAAACAATCTTTATTAGTTGATACGGTATTGTCAATTTGAACTTTAAATAAAAGTGAGTATTTTCAAACTCTTTCTCAAAAGTGTCTAGCCACTTTGTTCTGCTGATTTTGTTTATAATTAGTTGTCTTCATAAATAAACAATACTATGTTTAGTGAAGTTGTGCATTTCAATAGATTGTTTAAGATAAGTCTTCTAATTGAACTCTTGATTAGGTTCCTAAACCCTTCTAGTAACCCCCAGGCTAAATCTACACAGCGACTTAAACACGAGAGAAAAGGTGCAAAATATGGGAGAAACACTTTACTCTAAAGGTTCATTTATGTACTCAAAATCTAGGGTTTTTATAGTATTTTAGATGGCCTTGGGTTTTCGGAGAATTCTGGAACAAAACTAAACATGATTGCAGTATAGATAATCAGAAGATCGACATGTGACTTCAATTTCTAGATGTTTCCGGCAAAACTTCTCGTGAATGCTGGTTAGATAAAATGCTTCTCAGTGTTTTCACAGTTTTTTTATCGAGGAGTTTCCTGGATCTCTCCAACAGTTTTATTTCTCATTTAATCACTAGTCCATGAAATATCACCAAGATGCTAATCGAATTACTTTTTCTTCACAATTAATTGATCACTAGGATAGTGACCAATGCTATATGTATCAGGTCCTTATTAGTGTTAATCGAATTTTATCAATCAAGTTATAATGTAGCCATTAGTCTGGGTGACTTCTTTCTGTTTTAAATGAGTTATTCGATACTATTCATTCTTCTCAATTGTTCATCTTTTTAGATTTAGTTTACTTGTTAATTATTAGACTGTTATTTCCTTGAACCAGGTTACCAGGAGTAACGTTGGATCTGCTTCAAATTCTTTCACTGAGATTATACAGATACAACATTCTTCCACTTTAATGTCATTGATCTATATTATGATCTATAGGATACATTTATCATATCAATACTGAATATAATAAGATATTTTATGTACTTGGTTGTTGATTTTTTATCAATAAAGTATGAGTTTAAGCGAATTCATTTTTCTTTTGGTGAAGTTTTGTTCTCTGAGCTGAATGAATTAGTCGTGAAGCTTTCATTATTCTTTTGAACGACACCATCAGTATAAACCTCAGATAGAATTAATTCTTCATGTGATATTTGATTTTGCATAGATTGTTACGCAATTCAAACTTTAAATAAGTTTCTAGTGATTTGAATTACTATGTTATTGATGCTTTAACTGAATTTTGATCAGTATGAATTGACATATGTGTATCTCCAGGTGGAATAACTTGATTTATTTGTTATGTCATAAGTTTATGTGGAATATGGGTGGCAGTAGAATCTAGAACGCGTGCGTCTTCTTATTTGGGACCCATTGAAGATCGAATATTGTTTCTGAGATGCAGATAATTTGGATTCGTTCGAACTGCAACCAAGCTTACAATGCGTGTATAGAAATTCTTGCCATTTTTTATAGTAGATCGTCCGTGATGATGTAAGGTATATAGTGTGTTGTGTTCCAAGAAGATTGAAGAAAAAAGAACCTAATTCAGTCATGTCACTGCATGTTTTCCCAACTCAATATTTTCATTTCTTTCTGCATTGATGAGAGCCTAACTTTGTCTTGTACCTCCATCTAAATAGTATAGTCTTTTCTCCTGCTCCATGTTTTATTAGCCTTATAATTGACTAACAGCTCAGTTTTATTGTATTATTTATTTAAAATATTCAAGAATCTGTAGAGAGAACTGTTTCTTTTTAGCAAACATTCATTTTCATAGCTATGCATTTGTAAACAATAAGAGGGGAGCATGGTAAGTTTTCAAAATGTATAGCTTGATGTCTACTTTTATCAGGTAGGTAGGATATCACTAAGCCCTGTCTAATTCCTCCAGCAGGCAGGTCAGTAAATGTCAGACAGTTTACGGTACCTTATTAAGCTAAAAGACAATCATCTGGATCAATCATGGACAGGCGCATGCGGCGGTGGACTCGCTTTGCTTTTTGTAATCTGTTAATACTAATATATCCTGTTGCCTATTGAGAGTATTTATTCTGTCAAGTCACTTAAGAAGTTTATTCATCTAGTTATCATGGTGAAATAATTTAGACTAAGCATTAACAACTAAGCGACTTAGATGTAATCTAGGAGGTCACACCATTTCTGTCCGACTTGAGTAGATTGCAATCGTAGACATAGATCACTTACGTTAGTGATCTACATAATTATTTCCACAATTTCTGAGAAACCAATGTATAATTATTAGATATTAAAAGTTAAACTAGAATTATGTTGAAAATAAATGTGTTAACATCCTTCTATAATGCTACAACAAGTAACCGTGATGCACTCATTAAGCAATATCAGTATGAATCCATCGGCTCACTCGCTCCTTTGGGATTGAGAACATGAGCTGCATCATAATCTCGTTGGCGTTGTCCCGATTGGTTGTCCACAAATGATCTAATAACCGCAATGAAAACTATGGTACGTCATGGTGTCCAAACTGAAGTAGTTTATAGTGTCGGTTAAAATGTTAAGCCCATGTACCCCGTTCTAGCTTTCGGACAGACTAACCTGTTCGTTCTACTTGAGTCACATTTTGACCTTGTTAATTATTCATTTATCAACCCTGACCGTTTTTATATGAGAGTATTTGTGTGTACACTTCTTATCCTATTCATCACATATCTGTAGCTTAATTTTGTGTGACTAAATATTGATTAACGCTTGGTTAAATGAAGTTGGTTCACACGCATCCACAGCGCGTCATTTCGCCTCTTTCCTCTGATTACCTGTCCAAGTCAATGATTGTACAAAATATATGTATTCGAAACCCATTCTCGTATTTTATTTATTTAATTCCGTTATTCACTAACGCGATCTAAGTCGATCAAATGAATAGATTGGCCTGTCTGATAGCTACAATAAGGTATATGGGCTTAACATAAAAACCGACACTATAAGTTTTTCAAGCGGATAATCAATTCCCTCGCATATCAAACATTATAATCAATGGTTTATTACCAATTATATAAGTCCATTATTATCGGACAACGATAACGTTAGTGGAGTATGTGCTCAGTTCAACTTTGTATATTTATCGATCTAATTTGCGTTAGTAAATAATGCGATGAAGTACGAAATTAATTTTAAATACATACAATTCACACATGCGTTAATGAAGACGGACAGTCAGAGAAGAAGTAAAGAAAGAGAACACGCATGCTGAATTTAATTAAAGCCTGCTTGAATATCTGAGCGACCCGTTCATGCAATCTAGATATTTTAATAAGTTACCTCAGTTTGTTTTAGTACATCATTATATCTATTAAACGTAAAATCTATTCAGGAGCGTTTATGAAAATTTTACGACCTTTCGCTGTACCAGTCAGAAAGTACTATCAGAAACATCGTGGCGGCTGGCAATATACATTGAATATAATAAATAATATTCAGATGTTGATTCCTGAACTGCTGACATCTTATTGGTGATCACTCAATATTTATCGTCAGGATCGATCGAGAAATAATAAAGGAAACCTGTTGGAATTCTTTGTACTGAGAATTCTATATCATACCAAAAATAACATTGAATAAAATCATTAACAATGCTAATAACCCAGCATTCATTGTCATTAAAAATTTAAGCGAATGTATCGATATAAACTAGTTTATATGTGTGAATAACAGTACTGTTATTCACACATGTCCACGGTCACATATAAATGACAGAATGACTAATAAGGTCAAGATAGTTCATCTTTCTTAAAGCTTGGAAAATTCTCGTCAGTAGTAAAATGCAGTCTTTTACAGTGGGCATTAAAGGTGACTAGAGATATCTCGTTTATACGTCAGCTGCGTGTAATAAATACCACAATGAGAATGCTGTCTGATTTTTCCATCCATTTCGTATGCCACTTGTGTTAACATTAGTCAAAATCTGGCTAATGTCTATACTTACTGACCCATCAGCATATTACCATACTAACACTGTAACAACTTAAACTGGTTGATTTTAGAGTTGTCTAGAAAAAGCCTTGTAATGTTAAGACATTGTGACTCAATTGTTTATTTACTGCATGGGATTTAAATTTCCAATTATTCTGTGGTGGTCGTCGAAAAGTTCGTGTGTTTGGAATAGAAAACCTCGATCTCCATGTCGGATTTAATAAGCCCTACAGATATTCTACTAAAACTTTAAACGCAGTACTGGCGACCCAGAGACTATGTGAAGGTTTTAGTCAGAGCAAGGACAACTTGACCTCAAACTACCTGTTTCTTAACGTAAAATTAATAATTTGATTTGTTCAATAATTTAAAGAATTATAGTCTTTAAATGTAACGCACAAACATACCGACCAGTATTGCGTGTTTTAGTGAAATGAATAAAAATTATGACTCACATTAATATAATAGGATAATAATGTCCTTCAATTGGCAGGTCACATGAAATAGGGATAGTCTACAGATACACCAGACCAGATTGACGTAGTGGGTGTTTAAGCAACAGTTTGATTGGTTAGTTATGGACATAACTAACACTCTGATTGTTCTATTCCACATCTTGGAAAAAATCATTCAACCAAAAGTCTGGTTTATTGTATAAATATAACGAGGGGTAGCTACGAGCATGAAAATGCTGTTATTCTAAAATGATAATTTTACACTCTCAGATCATTAAGAGAGTCTCAATATCAGTTGGTGAATACGGTCTTTAAAATTTATTCTGCTCATTACTAAATTAGATGTCTTTACCTCTGCAACTTCAGACTATTGACCGTATTGTACCGATTGATGGCTTTAATTAGCTGAGCAATCGTCCGATGCATTCTAACAATCACACGCAGTTAGGTTATATAAATACGGAGTTTGTCGAATGTATATTATTAGTTTAGGTGCTTATCAGTGAAATTGTTTTTTATTGGTCTATAGAACTTGGATTTAAGTTGCTACATATATTCAGTCGTAATGCTTTA